GGACAGAGAGTAAGCAACAAGGAAGTTTTAACAAAAATGGAAACAAAAATGACATTTATGCTCAGAATCAGAAAAAGACAATTTTCTGGTCATATAATAAATAAAGAAGGCTTGGAAAACAATCCTCACAGAGCATATTGAGGGCATGGGAAATAGGGGAGAGCAGTGAACCACCTACTTGATGAGTATGTGTGAATGAATGGCAGAACAGGGAGGGAAGCCTTAGCAAAAGTTGAAAAACTGCTAAGGGCCACAAAGGAGAAGTTGTGGAGAGCCATGATCACCCATGTCCTGAAGGGACATGGCACATAGAAGTGGCACCAAGTTAATCAGCAGGCACAGAAAAATCTGTCAACCAGTGGGAGAGGATCTAGTTTTGCAGCATCCCCTTAACTTCTGGAAACTGGGAACATAAAAAAAAATAATACATTATTTTTTTTAAGGGGTAAAATTTGGAAGGGGATTAAAGTACAATGTCCGTTGATTGGTTAATTTAATGACATATGGTTAATTTAATGACATATCAAACATTGTTAGGTTAATTACAGTTGAATATAAGTCTTACAAGAAAAAAAAAATCCCAATGTATTAATGAACTCGTAGTTCGACATAGATCAGGCTTACACCTGAGTCTGCACATATTGCAATCAAAATATTTACACGGACAGGGCAATAAAATGTAACGATTAACAAGCTCATTTTGCAAAGCAAGTGATATGAATTTATATGCTTGCAAAGTGCTTTAAACTTGTGCCAGGTTTTTTTTTTTTTTTTAAAAAGAATCTTTCATATATAAAAAAAGATTTGGTTTATGGCATATTAACCTCAATGGGTTATTTAATACCGACAATTTTTATTGCTGTTTTATTGCAATTTTTTTCCTTCAAAAATCTATTACTGGTAATATTTTTTCTTCAAAAATTTATTGCTAGTAATAATGTTTTTACAAAGTATTTCTGGCATTAAAACCTATTTTTACATTTTCATAGTATTTTGACCCCAGCTTTGGGGTTATCTATTTTCCCATAGCTGGGACCCTAACAGGTGCTACCACCCCAGGTCAGAGTGGATCTGGGAACACCAGCAATTAAGAGGTGGTTCCATGCTCCTCAAAACATCCTGATCAGAAGCCTTGCTGTTGGACGTAGTTTATCGTCTGACCCAGGATGTGAGTTTATCGTCATGCCTGGGACGGTATAATAAGGTCAATCTGGAGTGTTTTCAACCATTTTTTAATATTTTGAGAACTTTGAACTGACACTCTCCTCTGGAGTTACTCAGTAGTAAGCTTATGTAGTGTATGACTGTTGCATTTACAATAACTAAGGAGATTCTTCCCTATCATAATCTAGATTTATTTGTCTAGAACTTTTGGCTTTTTTTTTCCAAATTACTACTGAAAAGAAGATTTCAGACAATGAGTGAAATGAAAGTAAACTTAATAAGACAGCTGATGGTGATCCCAAAAGCTCACTTTGTAGGCTGTTTTGAAAACTGTAAAAGGCATTGGGACAAATTTATAGTCAAAAGGAGAGAATTCTCAAAGAGTTGGTGTGACTAGTGTTCTCTGTAAAGTTTTCTTAAAATGGGTACCAACATCCGTTAATGAGTGATGAACATCACATAGGGGATGTAGTGGAACAGAGATGGGAAAGAGGGATAGGGAGACAATACAGAGTTATAATAAAAAATACTGTTTAACTCGCTAGATGTAACTGCCACTATACTTTAACAGTTTCTTTTCTCAAACTTCTTGCCTGTGGAACTCCTTTTTGATGTATTGCTTCCCTGATAGATACGATCTTCAAAAATTTAAATGCAGTGTCAATCGCCATCTTTCTTCTTGAAACATGTTCATTTTTAATCTTTTTTTCAATCCTTTCCGTTCTCTGCCTTCTCATTCTCTTTCGCTCCCTGTACCCCACCCCTGCGTTCTAGTGGCATTGTTGCCTTAATTGGAGTGAAACAATAAAAAAAATATTGCTGGGTTAAATGAGTTTTTTGGTAATCATCCGGAGATGTCTCATAAGAAATGTGTCCTGGGTATGATGATAAACTACATCTGCGTCCTGGGTATGACGATAAACTGTATCCGCGTCCTGGGTTTGACGATAAATTACATCTGTGTCCTGGGTATGACGATAAACTACGTCCAACAACAAGGCCTCTGATAATGTTTTTGAAAAAATAATGTTGCTGGCTGTACGTTTTTGAAAAAAATAATATTACCAGCTATACGTTTTTGAAAAAAAATAATATTACCAGCTATACGTTTTTGAGGAAAAAATATTAACAGAAATAGATTTTTGACAAAGCAAAAATATTACCAGGAAAAAAAAAAGAAAAAGTTGTCGGCATTAAATGACCCATTGAGGTTAACCAAACCAAACCCATAAGAAACATTGAAGACACTTGAATTCCTGATTGGTTAATAATCCAATCTTGGTAATGTTTAACCTATGTACTTGCAAAAAAAAAAAAAAGTATCAAAAAGACATTTTTTCTGTTGACACTATTATACTCCCTAGATTATGTCTATTTACAAGATTATTTCTAAGGAATTAATAGATTTACTTTTGACATTTTTATTACTCCAGGCATTATTATAGTGGATACTCGTATTTGAAATCGATGCCCCAGTTATTTATTAAACAGTGTGTATTACATCCATTGGTCTGTTCATTCAAGAAATCTTAGTAAAGAAAATGTGTTCTCTGGCAGGGATCAGACATGTGTCCACCTTTTGTAGAAGAAACCACTGTTTGATCCAGTGTGCTTTACCATTCAGCCACAAAGAATGTCACAGTAAGCAAGGCTCTATTCTCCCTTTCAAGAGCCCATATCTGCACAGTTTCATATCTGAAATGTAAACAAAGCAATTTATAAAGAATTAATGGATTTATTTTTAATCTAATATTTTTATTACGTCAAACATTATTGTACTGAACACTTCGTATTTGAAAATGATGCCCCATTTTTATTTATTAAACAGTGTATTATATCTATCAGCCTGTGCAGTCCAGAAATCTTAGTAAAGATTATAAAGGTAAGATAGAGCCTTGCTTACTGTGACGTTTTTCATGGACAAGCAGTAAAGCAAGTCAGATCAAACGATGATTTCTCTACAAAGGGGGACAAAGGTTCAATCCCTGTTGGAGAACACATTTTTTACTAAGATTTTTCACATGTAAAGGATTAAAAGAATTGCAAAATTAAAAGCTAGAAAAATGTTTTAGACAGGATAATGAATGTTTTCTTCAGCTTGTATTAAGTTGTACAGTTGTCTACCACCATAGTGTGGGCCTTGGGGTCCAAATTGGCCAACCCACACAGCAATTGAATCGCAGTAGCTGTGGAGGTGTGTGGGCGATAATAGGAGGTTGAACAGTTACCTGACTTTTGAGCTTTGCTCTATTTCATGATATATAGTGTAGATAATGGCTTGAAAAGAACCCCCCAAAATTATACTAATAAGAAATTTCAGGTAATTTGCTTTTTAAGCCCCTCACTGAGTATCTAATAAAAATTTCCCAGTTATTTTTTATTCTAAATTTACATCCCTAATTTGAAAATAATAAAGAAATTTTTATAAAATCTACCATTTTGGAGTTATCAACAATAGAAGTTCAGACTCATTCGTGTTGTTGTTGGCTATGGCAGGGCAGCCATTATTGGCATTGTTTGCATCAGTGTGTACGCAATAATCGAGACAAGTAAATTTCTATTCTGCAGCAAATATATGCAAACAAAACCAGCAATCTACTAAATAAAGGGTTTGGTTCAAAATTTCAATGTATATCACCTGAAGAAGGTTGGAGTGTACAATGGCTGAAATGTGAATATGGCAGTAAAGATGAGGACAACAGTCTGAATGATGTAAATAGTGAAAATAATAGTAATAATAAAGAGTGTATTGAGTAAGAATGTTGGGATAAAAAGCAACAATTATAAAATGGAATAAAATTGTTAATAAAATAGAAATAATTTTAATATATTTTTCCCTTTGAAAATATAACCAGGAAATTGATGATAATATCAAATAATGTTTCTTTTATTTATTAGTTCACAAATTACTTTTTGGGTCAGTATTTTTGATTCTCTATAGAGAATGTTCTAAAATCATTCAACCTGTTGTAATGATTCTATGTCAACACCTCTGAATTAAAACTCAATAAATCCAGGGAGGTTAAATGGTTATAGTGAACTCTCTCTCTCTCTCTGTGACTATTACCCTCTCTCTCTCTCTGTGGCAATTACTCTCTCTCTATGACAATTACTCTCTCTCTCTCTGTGGCAAGCTAAAAGGATTGACCCCTAGCAACCATGTCGTGTGGATCCTAAAAATCACTATTCACGTGGAGTCACCTGATTCAGTATACAAAACTGTACATGAAAGAAACACAACTAGTCAGTTGGGGCAACAAAACTTGATGAGATCGAACCATCCATCCCCAACTCATATAAACTCCCAGTTAAGAGAACACTTGTGTGACCAAATGGGCATACACAAAATTCAGTGGAGTCAGTGATGACCAACACAATAAAGATAATTTCTAAATAGGAAGGAATCACCCTTATGCAAAAGAAGCATATAAGCAGAAATGACCATTACTCATGGTTGAATACTGTCAATGGAAAAGAGATAAAGAGTAACCCAATAGCAGAACATTTTTGCACTTGTGAAGAAAAAAGAAAAGACAAAATCCTGAAATTATAAAAGTTACTTCCATGAGAGAATAAGATGTTAAATATTATATGAAAAAGGAAAAAGAGAAAGGAGAAAGATATAACAAGAGAGAAGAGAAGAAAAAAAAAGAGAGAAAAACTGTATTTGATTTCAATCAACTGAAAAAACTGTTTTTTTTGTATTCATATGATACACACCACATACATTTTTTACATTCAGATATTCTTTGTTTTAAATTGTTTTACATTCAGATAATTGGAGTCCATGATGATCAACATGATAAAAATCCTTTCCAACTAGAAAGGAATCAACCTTATGCAAAAGAAGCATAGAAAGAGCAATAACATTTTTCCATGTTAGAAGAGAAAAGAAAAAAAAACCCTGAAAATATAAAAGTTACTACCACAAGAAAATAAGATGTTAAATATTACATAAAAAATGGAATACATGAAAGGAGAAAGATCTAACGAGAGAGAGAGAGAAAAGAAAGAAAAAAAAGAGAAAAAATGTATTTGATTTCAATCAACAGAAAAAGCTAAGTGGTTTTTTTTTGTACTCATATTGTATGCATTTTTTTTACAGTCAGTTATTCTTTGTTTCAAATTGTTTTATGTACAATTAAAATTATGTTACACTTTTCATTTGTATTTGTGATTTGTCGCTGTTGGTTTTATTCTCATGTTTTTGACCCTGTGGAAGAAATTCACTATTGTAGTGGAATCCAGGTTATATCCTTGGCAACTGATACACTTTGCTTTGATTTTTTTTATTTATGTTGTGACTTTCATGGGTCGTAACACTGAATAATAGGTATCAAAATGAAAGATTAAAAAGAAATTACTCATTCCAAAATTGATTTTTTCAATAACAATCGACAATTTTATCTTCATCTTCATTTTCCTCACAATCAGCTAAAATATCCTCGATTAAGGACAATGGATTTTGAGTGTACAAATCACAACCTATTTTACATTTGTTCAAGTCTTTCCTGAAATTAATTTCAGAAAGCCTCTTTAGAAAGGCAAACCCCTCGTGCTTCAAACTCTCCTGTTTGTTATCTTCACAACAGCTTCCTGTGCAACAGTTGAAAAGATTGCCCTTGTTCTCGGTAGCCTTGTCCTTCAAGCATGTGAATTTTATAACAAAGTCCTCATTGTCTTCATTTGAGAACAGCAATTTTGACAGTACCTGAGTGGCTTTTTCGCAAACACTGTGATCACAATCGTTAAAAGCAGTGAGCAGAGAATCTATACATCCAAGCTTTGATAGGGTCTGAAACTTTTTAAGAAGGCTGCAGACTTTACAGGCCTGGCATCTGTTTCTGGAAAAGACAGGCAAATCAATGGCATAGGCAGGGCACAGTGTCTGTGAATCAAATTCGGTTGAGATGACATTCTCCCAGAAGCTTAAGGCTGCTATTTTGACTTCCCAATCTAAATCGGAATTCAGTACATCAATGATGGTCTTGTAAATGAGTGACTTTTGTGATGAAGTGAGCAAATTCTTTTTGTGGGTCTCCAGTAAAAATTTGGCAGCAGCTCGACGAGGGAAAGCTTCTGTATCTGTCTGGAGAACTTGAATAAAATCATGAAGAATATCATCCTGCAGAAATAAAAATAAAGTGGAAAAATTTGAAAAAAATGATGTTTGTTAAATTATGAATGGTATTTTTCTCATCTTAAAGTCCAAAGTAAAGTCCAATAGGATTATAAAAACTTTGGAGAATTCCAGTAAGATATCTTTAATCATTTCTAAGATACAACAGTTCAGAGCTTAATCTAACAATTGAACAATTTTGGTGTTACACAATTTGGACACCTTTGCTGTTACACCTGATATATATACATGTCCAAACAAGTTTTGGTAAATTCAGCTGATAAGGTTTGTTTAATGTCTACACATGAGAACACTAGATTAATTTGAATTCCAGGATTTTCCTCTACAAAATAAAATGCCAGAATGTAGCCAAGATAAGCCTGTCTACCACACCAAGAACACCAAGTTCTTGATAATGACTGAATGAGCCAAAAGTAGTTGAATAAAATATCAACTTTAGACAGTTTATTCAGAATTCTGATCCCAATGTACATCTTATTCAAACATTGGAAGAATACAATAAAAAATTAAACAGACAGATCTTGTCAATTAAATTTCACAAAACCTATTTGAATGAAGTGGTAACAATCAAATTGATGCTTGAATGCAATCACCAGGCCATGTGTGTTATATATAAACAATATTTAGATAAAAATAGTCAAGCCAAAACAACACACATGACCTGAAGAGTGCTTGAAACAGACTGTCACTGCTTGGTGTTGACTCCAACATCCACTTTTATTTATATATATATATATATATATATATATATATATATGTATATATATATATAGTTGCCATTTTATATTTTTAATTTCACACATGGGTATTGTTTGTTTTTAATTTTGTTGATTGCACAGTACAGTAAGGTCAGTTGGGCACCATCTGTGAAGAAATGACCACCATAATGCAATTCACTTAGCCAGAAATTTGGAAATGGCATGCTGTACTGCTTGGCATTCGCACCGGAAGCTCCAATATGAACAATTCAGAGTGTTTAGGTGTCAATCTGAGGATAGTGCAGAGGGTTCAGAAAGGGTTAGAAGAGTCTAATGGGGATTACAAAGGTATGGCACCTCGGAAAACTCGCTCTGATTGATCTGATAAGAAAAAAACTCCTGAATTTGTTGGTGAGGATCTCACATTCAACACAGAGGTATACATCAAATGCTTTGAGGAAGTAGTGCTGCCCTGAATGAAGAGGGTGCCTGCTGGCAACAGGACTCTGCACCATGACGCACAAACAGGAGAATATAGTCACAGCTGTCAAACAATTTCTGTGACTGCATCACCCCTTACATCTGGCCACCTAACTCTCTAGACTGCAACCCCTTTGATTGTTATGTGTGGGGCGCAGTTGAGCAAGAGACCAACAAAATTCCTTGTAACACGAAAGATGAAATGGAGGCAAAAATCATGGCAGCAATCACCATCTTAAACAAGGAGGCCATGCAGTAGAGTGTGGGAGATTCTGAAGTCATCTAGAAACTGTGGTAAGAAGCCAAATGGTGATTTTATTGAATAAATTTACTCTTTAGTATTTCAAGATATTTTTCTGTAATTTTGATAGATATATCTGTTAAAATGAGATGTCAGTGTTATCCATCACACTCTGTATATGATGGACCCTCCAGTCGATTTCAACATATGAGGATCTAACAATCTCATTCAGTTTTTATGTTTGTGTCATATGTGCATCTTAGTCTGGCTAGTGACTTGCATATGTCCGCATAGTGTGTAACAGCAAGCTCTCCAGGCTGGTTTGAATTTGAAATTTCCTACATACATCCTAGACTGATTGCTACCCAAGTCTATAGAACCCTAACCCTGCCCTGCTATTTACCCATAACTGAGCGTAGAAAGAAATGTACTAATACCCTTGAGAAAGGGTATTAGTACATAAGTAAATTTAATGAATTCAACTGAAATTCAAACTTGGCTCTTTGATTCCTCAATCTGAGCTGCAATCCATCACTTGATCGAGCCTCACTCTCTCTCTCATATATATATATATATATATATATATATATGTATGTATAAATAGGAGTGTGGCCAAGTGGTTGGAACGTTTGATTTCTGATCATGAGACCCAGGTTTGAATCACACTATGGTCGTTTTGTCAAGAACAAGACTTCCTGATGTTATCAGTCTTGAGCGGGTGATCCTAGCATGCAGCACCCTTGGAAAGTGCCTGAAAAATCATACCATGGGTTGACCCAAGCCTTGTGAGTGAAATTGGGTTGACAGAACCCTAGGGGAAGGGGGCATCGATAGTTGTGCTAGCATGGTCATAAGTCATCGTAACCAAGGTTTTGGGCATGCCGGTCTTGATCAAATTGTTGATCCCGCTAGATAACATGCACTTTCCCAGAAACTGTAACTAAGATCTGCTCAGCATAGTTGCAGTATAAACTACAGGTGGCCTCTGTGGTTGCTGAACAAACTCAAATGTGCCTGTGCAAGCATCTGCAATAGGGATTGGCTAGCTGTCCTAGTTGAATGGTATCCTCAAATACAAATGACCAGCTATATTATATATATATATATATATATAATAAAAAGGCTTAAACACTAATATTCCATGGTCATAATTTTATAATATTAGTGTTTAAGCCTTTTTATTATATCCTTACTCTGTCCTAGACATTGAGTTCTACCTGGATTCTTCCTCTTGGAATTTTTTTTCTGAAAATATACATGTATGGGTATTTATATATTTTGCATATGTATATATATTTTCCACTAATATTATCTATATATATATATATATATATATGAATGAAGAAATATAGTTTTAAGGTGTGCTATATTTATGGGATAAAGTGCTCAATGTCAGAAATAGAGTTAAGTAAATATAAATATAAAAGTGAACATTGAAGTCAACACTCAGAGGCGACACGCTGTTTCATGCTAGGTGCAATTGGCCTGATAATTGCGCGTAGCACGAAACAGCCTGTTGCTCTGAGTGTTGACTTCAATGTCCACTTTATATATATATATATATATATATATATATATATATATATATATATATATATATATATATATATATATATATATATGAAAATATTTGGACAGATTTTATTTTTATTTTGTCTCTATAAAAGCTCTTTCAGCTCTACCTTCGTGTGGTAAATGTAGAAAAAAAAAAATTGTACTCACAAGGGATTTTTTAGAAGCTGAGAGAAAATCTGACCATAGGTCATTAGTCTGAAGGCAGCTGGTCATTGCTGTTATGGTTGTTGCTCGAACATAACTTTCACCATCTGAGAAACTTGAATACACTAAATTGTGCAATCTGTGTTTTTTGACCCACAACAGGAGACGAGGTGAAACTGGTAAAAAAAAAAAAAATATAAGAAAGATTCAGAATACTGATTTTCAAGGCAAATACTTTAACCTTAGGTATAAGACTGGTGCTACATAGTCTTCTTAAACCTTCATTTCCTGAAAGGCTGAATAAAGTTAATCTTTTCAAGTATCTATAGCTTACATATATTTAAATACATACAAGGGGGTACTGAAAAGTCCTTATTGACACATTTACCAAAATTCAGCAGTCTGATGTTTAGTCATGGAAACACACACACACACACATATATATATATATATATATATATATATATATATACATATACATACTATCTCACACTTTAAGCACAACTGAGTTTCATGCACAATGCAATCTTCGGGTGCTGAGCTCAAATTTGAGAGTCATGCTAGAGGTGTGAGATAGTATGTGCATATATATATATATATATATATATATATATATATTAACTCTATCAGAAATATGTTAGCTCTATCATTGATACTGAGCACTTTCCAATAAGTACTGCGCATATATAATATATATTATATATAAAAATTGCATATATATATACATACATACATACATACATATATATATATATATATATATATATATATATATATATATATATATATACATACACATTTTACACACACACACATGCATACGCACATATATAAAAATGCTACTTTGATCAAAGGAGAAAATAATTCACTACAGTGTAAATGTTTAAAGAGTGTTTTGATCACAAGGTCATCCGTTTCCCAAGGGCCTTTGCTTCGTAAGTGAATATAATGAAACCAACTGCAATTGGAACTCAGCTCTCAGATTAACAATTCTGAGCCATTATCAATTACACCACCCACACATCCAAGCTTACAGTATGGGTATTCCCAAGTGGTCACCCAGTTAGGTACTGACCAGGGTCGATGTTGCTTAACTTTGGTGATCATATGGGAACCAGGGTTTCAATGCAATGTGACTGTAAGCAGTTTTGGTCAGACAGACATCCCACTGAACACTAAAATCAGTGTCTACCAATTGTGTGTCCTGAGTGCTGTCGTGTGCTCTTCAGAGACATGGACTATATATTGCCATCATATCAACACCTTGGAAAGATTTCATCAAAAGTGCCTTACGTGTATCTTAAACATTAAGTAGCAGTCTTTCACACCAGATGCAGTTGTTCTGCTATGGGCCAAATCACCCAGTGTTGGGTGGGGCATTACAGAAGAGCGGAAGATGAGAGATTGCCTAAGCACATGTTTTACAGAGAGCTCACTCTTGGTAAGCATGCCAAACACACACTCAGAATACACTTCAAGGATGTTGTTAAAGAAAACTTGAAAACTCTTGTAATTAATGTCAAAGACTGGGAAAAAGTTAGTTTTTTATGATTGCAATTGTTTTGCAGTCAAATCGGTTGAGCATTTGAAGTTGAAAAAGGCTCTTTGGAAAGTTGATGTAAACTCGATCCCAGAAAATATTCACTCTGAGATTGTATGTAACATTTGCAGGAAGGTTGTGTTGTCATATAACTTTTATTACTGTCTATTGTTAGAATTGTTCTATTTTATGATTAGTTATTGTTGGTAATTTCTTGTTATGTCAAATTTGATCGACAGTAAGAAGGAATCTTTTCATTATTTATTATTATTATTATTATTACATTTACTTTTATTTATGTATGCATTCATAGATTGTTAATGTAGCATACCTTCAGACAATAATGGGTATGTCCCCATTCACATAAATACAGTAGTAAATACTGTATGTTGGTCTGCAGTTAGAGATTTATTGTGGAATTCACTTGATTCACTTCTAGCAGTTGATTACTTCTTCTATGCACCACTGGCGAATCTTATATGTTTTGTTCTTGTCCTAAGTATTATCATTCATTACCAACCTTTGTTTGATTATTCTATTCAGTAACCTTCCCTAGGTTACAACAGTTAATTTGTTTATTTATTTCGATTTTTTTAAAATTTTGTTATTTGTATTGGCTTTGTCTAAAGTAGGTTACATTATCTGTGTTGTATATAGTGCATATATTTGCATTTTTAGTAAAATCAAATTTTTACTATGTAAAATCAAAAATTAAAATACCACTATGAAAAACATAAATATATGCACAATGTACAATGCAGATAATGTAACATGTCCTGTTTAATAAAATCGAATCTTCTATCCATCACATAACTTTTATTACAGTCTATTTTTATAATTGTTGTATTTTATTATTAGTTATTGCTGTTAATCTCTTATTGTACTTATTAAGATCTAATCTAAGAATAAATCTTCTATTCCTCTTCACTTTTATTACAGTCTATTAATAGCATCCTATTTTATCTATATCTATAATTCTCAAAATGTGTGTGTGTGCATCTGATCAGATGCTGTTTATGTGTTTTCACAGTTTTCATCCGATTTTGATGAATCTTTTTTGTTCAATAGATAATTCTTGTGCCAGTTTTGAGTCCAAATTGTTGGTGACAATGACTCTCCACTACTTCCTCTCCATTATAACTCTCAGTAACGTTTTACTATTTACTATCTGTTCTTGGATATTTGGATATATATCTTTCATAAAAACTTTAATAAAAATAAATAGTTTAAATTATTACAATAATATTATTTATATCTATAATTCTCAAAATGTTTGTGTGTGTGTGACCAGATGTTGTTTATGTGTTTCCACAGTTTTCATCCGATTTCAATGAAATTTGTTTTGTTTGATAGATAATTCTTCAGTGCCGGTTTTGAGTTTTTTGGCCGGAAAAAATTACAACCTTGTAGGTAAAGAAAAAAAAAAAAAAAATCGAAGAAACTGATTTTTTACACTTTGCACAAAAATCAAAAGCAAAATTTAATGTCTGTAAAAAGCAGCATACAATCAATTTAGAGAGTTGAAATGTAACACAGAAGATACACAATGAAGAGACAGTCATGTAGCATTTGCAGGAGTGTTCAATGCGTGGCTATATGAGGCAACAGGTATGCAAAATAACATTTTTTTGAGCAGTGGGGTGATGATGCATCAAGCAAGATAACTTTTGTCAGGGACATCCTATTTTCATCATTTTTCCTGTGAAACAACAGCTCAATTGTAGCGAAACTAAAATAAGTTTTACAGTTGCAAGGCAACAGTGATGTGCCTCATTATATCAATGTATAGGTACCATTCTGCCTGCATCCGATTAAACCCACTCATTCTGCGACTCTATTTGTCCGTTTACCAAGTTTTGTTTGTTCATGTTCTCTTAGTTTCGTCTAATACAATTCTTAAGATTACTTTTTCACTTATGACCTTCCAATCCTAGCTCATGCTGTGCGGGTGTGATTCACACCTCCACATGTTACCCATCAGTTGCTGCTGACCTTGATAATTAGCACATGCAGCAACATGTGTATGTATGGCCCTGCAATATGCAATGTGTCATGCACATACACATGACCTGCAGAACATGACACCTGTCTAAGTTGCCCATTGGCTGCACGAAGCCCCTTTACATGTCCAATCAAATGTTGCCATGTCATACTGATTGTTTACACAGTCCTAAACTCATTGCTACTGTTTAATTCCACAATTCAACTTCTACTTCTGTACGTCCAGCCCTGCTTACACATTCCCCTTCTCTTGGCCAAGTTTCAGTCTCTCTCAAGTGAGGTGACCTTTTCCATTGCATAAAGCCTGCTACTACAGTTTTAACGTGTTGCTTTCATTGTCATTTATATCCATTCCCAATTTAAATTTTTTTATTGTCCTGCAAGTTTTTGCATTGCATCCACCGTAGTAATAAGTAAGCTCACTCTTATATTACTCAACATTTATTTTTCCAACCTTTCCTAAAGTCATTCGAGCTTCAGTGATTCCTGTAGCTTTCCAGTGTTCTCTTCTGATATTTGCCCACACATTTGATAATTCATACTTGCCTAAGACATACCACCAAAGAAAAGAAATTGCCTAGGTCACAAAGTTGCTGCAGCCAGGTCTGCTATGTGAATAAGGGATAACAAATCATCTTTAGAACGTTCAGTTTGCATGTCTCAAAATGCCTCTCGGGGATGCTTCCCTCAGAGCCACTGAGTCCAAAGATCAACGGCTTTCCAGAAGAGCATACCTGATTGCTTCTGCATGTGAGGCTGAAAATGATGATCAAAGGATTCAACGGCTGAGGAGAAATGCCTACACAACTGCAGCTGAGCGTGTGGCTGAAACTGCTGATCAAAGGACTCAACAACTCCTCAAAGGACTCAATAGCCTCCTCAAATGCTGCTATGCATGATGTTGAGAATTCTAATCACAGGACCCAATGGCTGAGGAGAAACACCACTTCAACCAATGCTACACATGCTACTGAAACCAAGGAGCAGTGTGGAAATCATTTGCAATCAAATGCTACTTCACAGTCAGTAGAGTCATCTGCTACCCATCAAAATATATGGAACACCAATAGTGCATGGAGGGATGCTCAGCGTGGCATACCAATGATCAGCAGTGGCCATTGGTTAAACCTGGCCTTCCATTACAACCCTGACAGTTTTTATGTTAATCAATGCCTCTATCTTTCCTTCCACAGGCCACCTTCAACCGCATCACCTCCCCCTTAAAATGGCACCATTTCCAGCATATTGAATAAAAATAGAAAATGCATCTACATCCTGAAGAAACATACCCACCCAATTCTCTCCTTCTGCCGTAACGGTCCATGGAAGAGGTTCCTTCTTTGCAAGATTGAGAATGCAAAAACAGCCCTTTCAAATTGTTAACCCCCATTTGGAGATGAGCCTCAGTTGCACCCAATTGTTGTTATTAATATTGATTTTTGGTTGGGCTGACTTTAAACTTAAACTGCTCCAATTGAACAGCAAAAATTCCCTGTAATGAAAGACCCAGGTGAAGATGGGTTACACTGCTAGTTATTATTATTATTGTTGTGAAGCTCTTATTGGGCTTATTGTATAAAATAAATTTTAACTCATGTGTATATGAAGGGAAAAAAAAGTGTGTGTTTGTGTGTGTGTGTGTGTATATATATATATATATATATAGTAAAAATAACAAATCCGTTGGTATATAATCCAAGTGGATCCTCGTAATATAAAATATTAAAACTGATCCACAAAAAGATCTCAATGTATTTATTATTACAGAGCAAATAATTAATACACAAAAAATCCAAAATCACTTCATATAGTATTTTTTTTTCTTTTTTGGACTCCTGTTCATCCCGAATAGTAATATGAGGTGATTTGGAATTTTTGTGTATTTTATACACACACACACACACACAGACACACACACACACACACACACACACACACACACAGAGACACAAATGAAATGAGAATGAATCAAATATAAATTAATTTAAAAAATAGTGCTCAATACAATTGGCGGCAGCGGCATCCGTCCATCTTGAGAGATGATGGAGTAGCGCAGTGCGTTACAAGCCTGGGCGGGAGATATGGAGAACTAGAGCTGCCCAGATGTCTAGTTCCCCCTCTTGGCCTTACTATCAGAGTCCAAAACGAGAGGATAAATCAATACAGTTTGCTACCAGTGTGGCTGCAGGAGTTGCCAGAAGGTAGCACAAAGTGCCATCCATCTGCTTTAGGGGCTCCACTCTGGGTTTGAATTCAGAGTTGTCCTTCTCCTAGACCAGTTGTCATCCAAAGCTATGGTACCCAGTCTGTCCTGCTATTTACCAGTGACAGGACCCAAAGAGTGTGAGTTCAATACCTGGTTAAGGCAGTGGAGAACTTGGAGAGGGGAATTAACAGGAGATAACTGACATCCATTAAACATGGCACATGGAACTAGAACAGTAGACTGTTCTAGTTCCATGTTTGACATTCCAGGCTGGAGTGTACAATGGCCGAAACGTAATAAATATGGCGAGAAAGATGAGAACAATAGTCCGAATAATGTAAATAGTGAGTATAGGATACTTACCGGCACATGATGCAAAAATCTTTTCAAGAAACTCAACAGTTGTGTCCCGAATCTCCCATTTTGGATGACAAAGGCAGCAAGTGACAACACTGGCTGTGATAATTGGAACATTATCTGCCATGATTTCACTGTTATCTGACCAATTTATCTGAGGATACATATCACAGTTTGAATCATCTTTGTTACAATTTGGTGTCACCACAAAATTCTCTTCAGGTAAATGAGACAAAAGAACAGGTAGATAGTCAAATATACACTGGAAGGCATGGCTGACCACCTGTAATGAGAAAGAAGTAAAGGAAATGACTCTGAGATTCAGTCAACAATTGGTGCTCCATAATGGTGTTCTTGTGAAAGAGAAAGGGAATATCTGGCTACTGCAAGAGAATTGTTAACATGAGTTTCAAGTGTTTGATATTCTTTATATGCAGTGATGAGATTCAAAGAGTTTGCAACAATTTCTCCAAACCGTTTATGAAAATTACACAAAACATGTAGACTTGATGATACCCTGTAATAGTCCTAAAAAAACATGTGTCCCTAAACTGGCTCATATTCTTTCTAAACCAGAGATTTCCAACCTTTTCTGCATCTATAGCGAAGAAAATGGTGACTTACCTTGTCAAACCAAGCGACAACGCGTCGCATGTATTCTACGACGGAAAATGTGGCAAAAAAGAAAATTACTTACCAAACAAAAGGGCACGTATTCAGCATGACATGCTGAAGATGGAATATTTGAATTAAAAAACAAGTCCATCGCATGAGTCGCTATAAAGTTGATATGCAAATTACTGAACATCCTCTCCCAGCTGTCGATGAATGAAAAAGAAAACGTTCGGCTGATAAAAGCAGTTGGTGTTCTCAAATCGGGAAAAAAAAATTTGGGCTGTTGAGGGAGTTATTTTTCTGACTGGTTGCATGCATTGTGAGTTGTGAAATAGTACTTGCAAATTGAGTTTTCGGCATTTTCTTTCTGTCCCCGATGTTCGAGTCTGAACTTAGTGATTTATTCTCTGTGACGTGGAAATAATCTGTGACAAACATTTCCTTTGCAATCCCAGATCGCTTACAGCGTCATTGCCCAATTTCACATGAAAACATTTTCCACTGCCCACTTTTATAATAAATATTTAAAGGCATACCAAAATTATTTGGTAAATGCTTGTTACTGATTCATAAACTGACTTTATGGTGTAATAAAAAAAATACCAAAGGGCGGTAACAAATAACGCTCACCTGTATGGCAGCTGCTGGTACTGTATTAAAGAACAAATAAGAGCAAACTTGACCATTGAAAACTAAATATATATTATAGTTTTATGGTTTGTGTTAGTGTTGCAAGTGTTGACAAAAGATTTTTGCTTATAATTATAAAATTAAAAAGAATGTACGCTACAATGTTAATGGCCCTTTTCAAAATTATCAATCTGGGTAACCTTCAAGGAATTTTGAACCTTTTATTTAATGTACAGGAAAATATGGTTCTTATTCTGCTGTCTCAAAACAGTAACAGCATGCTTACCTGACCATCCTGGATATGACGATAAACTACACCCATGCCCTGAGTAAAACAATAAACTACATCTGATAGCAAGGTCTCTGGTCAGGAGGTTTTAAGGATCATGAAACCACCTCTTTATTATTGGTGTTCCCAGGTCCACCCTGACTCAGGTGGTAGCACCTGTTAGGGTCCCAGCTATGGGCAATAGAATGAATGAAAAATATATATATAGACTTTATCTGAAAGAATCAGTGCATATGTTAGACTATGAGAAACCTCTTAGTAGACCTAGCATATAAATAAAGGCAAATGACAGCAGGTCTTCAACAGCAGCAGTGATAGTAGAAAAAAGAAGCCTTGGTGAGTGCAGTCAAGTATGTCAAGTAACAACTGCACTCATCAGCAGGCAGGTTAGGTTTAAGGCTCCATGTTATCCACTCAGAATTGTTCCACGGGATAATAACCTAGTGGATTAGTGTTGGTTCAGGAATTTGATGACATAGGGCCGGAAAGTGTGTACTTGGGGCAGGCAATACTAAATAAATAGTACTAAATAAGAACTAGAAAAGACATCACTAGACATAGAGAACAGTCTATCCATATAGACTGAATAATGGATCCAGTTTGTAATTCCCTGAAGATTACCTGGATCGATGAACACCTGATGAAAACTGGATGACACAATGGCTGGAACTTTTTGATAACAAAGATGAAGAAATCTGTGTATAAATAACGACACCATGTCCCTGAAATTCAGAGGGAAATATGCATACACACACACACACATGCAATTCAGAGAGAAATATGCACACACACACATGCAATTCAGAGAGAAATATGCACACACACACACACACACACACACATGCAATTGGATCCTTCAAGTTTAAGATGTATATGGAGTGGAAACAGAGGAAACTTTTAGTATTAAAAATATTCTTCCATGGTTTTGTTTAATACTAAAGTTTACCTAATACCCGGCTCGAGAACCACTCAAGGTAGAGGGTTACTGTTCAAATACAGTGGAACCTCGGTTCACAAATTTAATTCGTTCCTGAAGGTCGTTCATAAACTGAAACTCTTTTTCCAACAGAAATAAATGTAGAGAAAAAAGTCACGGTACAATAAAATTTGAAAAGAAAAGCATAATACAACACTGGTTGACTCAGAAATCATTCTGTTTGGGTTTGACAATGTTGTTCAAGAACCAAAATTTTGTTTGATAACTGAGGCGTTTTCATCTTGTATTTTCTGTTTAAAAACCAATTTGTTCAACATGTGAGATGTTCGAGAACCGAGGTTCCACTCTAGTTATGACGAATGAGACTGTGATATGAATGAAAGAAGAGGTAGTATGAAGTGAGGATAAGGAGGATAGATAAGGATTGATTCTTGACTTGAAGAGATTAACATTGTAGTGTTCACAGAAGCACTTATATAGATCTTTGTTGCTTCTCTCTTATTTGGATTTACTTTTATAATAACAATTAGCAAAAAATGTAAAATAAAAATATTTTTCATTTCAGATGGAAATGTATAGAAAGGGTGTTGATCGCTAGATCATCCACAGTAAATTTGCATCCAGGTTCCTAAAACATTTCACCTTTCTTGGCAGATGTTCCATAATGTTGGATACTTAATAATAAAAAGTATTCTGCTCCCAAGAGCATGCGTCCATGTCATATGAAGTGCATAATCTTGAAGACAACCAGATAAAAGCCTTAAGATGAAGTTCCATAAATTGGCAGGTTTATTAATAACCAAAAGAGTAAAGCTTGAAGAGAAATAAATACATATAAATAAGACTAGTTAACTTTGTGGGTGAGATCAGAAAGATAAAACTATCAACCAGTGTCATGCTTTTATTGTGAGGGGTTCCTCGTAATATACTAAGCTCTAACTGGAAATGGTCAAAAATAGTGACCAGTCTAAAAAGTATCTAAACTATAAAGGGGACAAAAAAGGGAGAAGTAAAACAATACAGTTTGTGTAGGGCTGGGTAACAGAACAAAAAGTCATTAAAAAAACACCAAAAAGCATAAGGAAACTGAATGAAATTGGCAGGACTATATACCCAGACAGGTCAGAAAAAAAATGGCTACACTATATGCCCAGACAGGTCAGAAAAAAAAATAGCTACACTATATACCCAGACAGGTCAGAAAAAAAAATGGCTACACTATATACCCAGACAGGTCAGAAAAAAAAATGGCTACACTATATGCCCAGACATGTCAGAAAAAAAAATGGCTACACTATATACCCAGACTGGTCAGAAAAAAAAATGGCTACACTATATGCCCAGACATGTCAGAAAAAAAAATGGCTACACTATATACCCAGACAGGTCAGAAAAAAAAATGGCTACACTATATACCCAGACTGGTCAGAAAAAAAAATGGCTACACTATATGCCCAGACATGTCAGAAAAAAAAATGGCTACACTATATACCCAGACAGGTCAGAAAAAAAAATGGCTACACTATATGCCCAGACATGTCAGAAAAAAAAATGGCTACACTATATACCCAGACAGGTCAGAAAAAAAAATGGCTACACTATATACCCAGACGGGTCAGAAAAAAAAATGGCTACACTATATGCCCAGACATGTCAGAAAAAAAAATGGCTACACTATATACCCAGACAGGTCAGAAAAAAAAATGGCTACACTATATGCCCAGACATGTCAGAAAAAAAAATGGCTACACTATATACCCAGACTGGTCAGAAAAAAAATGGCTACACTATATGCCCAGACATGTCAGAAAAAAAATGGCTACACTATATACCCAGACAGGTCAGAAAAAAAAAATGGCTACACTATATACCCAGACTGGTCAGAAAAAAAAATGGCTACACTATATGCCCAGACATGTCAGAAAAAAAAATGGCTACACTATATACCCAGACAGGTCAGAAAAAAAAAATGACTACACTATATACCCAGACTGGTCAGAAAAAAAAAAAAATGGCTACACTATATGCCCAGACATGTCAGAAAAAAAATGGCTACACTATATACCCAGACAGGTCAGAAAAAAAAAATGGCTACACTATATGCCCAGACATGTCAGAAAAAAAAATGGCTACACTATATGCCCAGACTGGTCAGAAAAAAAAAAAATGGCTACACTATATGCCCAGACATGTCAGAAAAAAAATGGCTACACTATATACCCAGACAGGTCAGAAAAAAAATGGCTACACTATATGCCCAGACATGTCAGAAAAAAATGGCTACACTATATACCCAGACAGGTCAGAAAAAAAAAAATGGCTACACTATATGCCCAGACATGTCAGAGAAAAAAAAATGGCCAGACTATATACCCAGACTGGTCAGAAAAAAAAATGGCTACACTATATGCCCAGACATGTCAGAAAAAAAAAATGGCTACACTATATACCCAGACAGGTCAGAAAAAAAAAAATGGCTACACTATATACCCAGACTGGTCAGAAAAAAAATGGCTACACTATATGCCCAGACATGTCAGAAAAAAAGATGGCTACACTATATACCCAGACAGGTCAGAAAAAAAAATGGCTACACTATATACCCAGACTGGTCAGAAAAAAAAATGGCTACACTATATGCCCAGACAGGTCAGAAAAAAAAATGGCTACACTATATGCCCAGACATGTCAGAAAAAAAAATGGCTACACTATATGCCCAGACATGTCAGAAAAAAAAATGGCTACACTATATGCCCAGACATGTCAGAAAAAAAAATGGCTACACTATATACCCAGACATGTCAGAAAAAAAAATGGCTACACTATATACCCAGACAGGTCAGAAAAAAAAATGGCTACACTATATGCCCAGACATGTCAGAAAAAAAAATGGCTACACTATATACCCAGACATGTCAGAAAAAAAAATGGCTACACTATATACCCAGACAGGTCAGAAAAAAAAATGGCTACACTATATGCCCAGACATGTCAGAAAAAAAAATGGCTACACTATATACCCAGACTGGTCAGGAAAAAAAAAGGGCTACACTATATGCCTAGACATGTCAGAAAAAAAAATGGCTACACTATATACCCAGACAGGTCAGAAAAAAAAATGGCTACACTATATACCCAGACTGGTCAGAAAAAAAAATGGCTACACTATATACCCAGACTGGTCAGAAAAAAAAATGGCTACACTATATACCCAGACAGGTCAGAAAAAAAATAAATTTAGACTTCGAAAATTTTATATTTCAGTGTTGCAACATATTCAATGTTTCCTGTCTATGCATAATTATAATCAATGCTTGTATTTTTATACCTCCTTTTACATACATTTAATTCTATCAACAAAAACAACACTTTAGTCCAGTGAAGACCTGGATGAAAATGTGTTACACAGAATTCTTTTTTTGTCATTCATTTGCCTAACATAGAAATTTATGTATCATTTCCCATTCTGAACATACAAATTGTGAGATATTTTCAAGAATGACTTGTCCCTTTCTAAATTAGTCACCTTAAACTGCAGATTGTTGCCCCCGCCCTCCAGGAAGCTAGCTCAAGACTTGTTTCTGTTGGATCATCTATCATGCATACCTGAAGTCCTTCAAACAGTATGGTGAACTTTGCAAAGAAAAAAGTTTGTGTGGTTTAAACAGAACAAGGCTTTACCTCTCTAACCAAATCGTAACGGTTGTCTGATGATTCAGTTCAATGAATCATTAGGCCATCAAATGACAAAAATCAATGGAAGAATCCACTACTATTTTTTAAACAATGAAATAAATAAATCAAAGATTAACTTACTGATGAAGTTTGATCAATATCTTCTATTATAAGAAGAGAACTGTGTAATAATTTCACAATACAATCCAATTTTAGTTGACATTCTTCTTGGCTGCAATCTATAAAGAATAAAAAACATACGGATCAAAGTGGTGAACCATTTACAACATCAGACCGTAATTTATTTCATCTCTGATATTTAATGTACTGGGTGTCCCCCAAAAATTGACATCATTTTCTAGTCTGATAACATAGCTGATTCTCATTTAAATGATCTCAAATTTTAACAAAAACTGTAAAAACTAATTAAGTTGACTGTGCAGACTTATCACAATGTGAATCTACCAGCAAGATGGATTGGGTGTACCATTGATAATGACAATGTTCTGTTGAAATGACCTCGTGATTTTTTTTTCTATGGGTTATATGAAAGGACAAGCAGAGAGTAACTTAAGCAGAGAATCACTGAGACACTGGAGAATGTTACGCAAGACATGCTACAGTGTGTTTGGCAGGAGCTGGACTACTAACTGGATGTGATGCACATATTGAACAGTTGTGAAGCTTTATGAAATCGGTAATAAAATCAAAATCCCTTTCAATTTTGATAAATCTTTTATTGTTCAACATGAAGCCTATTTAATTGCATTTGCCTGGAACATTCAAATATTCATTCACATTTTAAATGATGTCAATTTTGTGGGGGGACCCTGTATTCATTCAGATATTAGTTTACTCCTTTCTCTAAAAAACAAAAAAAATCTAATCACAATGTTTAAATAACTAGAATTGTTAAAATCCTCACAGTATTTAGTATTGTTAAAGCCATCACTAATATTTTTTTGTCAAGATTTATAAACTACTAGCAGTAGAGCCTGGCGTTGCCCGGGGATGTAACAGTAAGAGATAGATCAAGTATCCACCATCATAAAGACTGAAAAATAAAATTGACAAAGATCAATTTAAGGTTGATGGACACGCATGTCTTAATTAGTTTTTTTTTGTTTTTTTTTGATGAATTGGTCAAAGCATTGTTTTCAATCGTTATGAGTCTACCGATTGAATAGAATTTTTTTTATAAACAATTGTCTTGTAAATGGAATATTTAAAGCATTCTGAATTTAAAAATAAAGAAAAAAGTGTGCAAGACAATAAGAAACACTACCTGCTAAAAAAAAAGTGAAGTTTTGTTGAAATTGGTTGAAAAATATAGGAAATCTAATCCCATATATACATGAACACACAGACACAAAAATAACCTGGCTTTTATAAGTATAACTCGATATGAGTTGTCCCCCTTTCATTCTCGCGATTAATCGTGTTTTCAAATTTATTTTCACAAAAACAATTGTGTTTTTCCAATTTTTGGCGCTGTTAGAACCACCGCAAGGTAATTTTGCGTAGTCCTGTGAAGTTTTGTTGAAATCAGTTGAAAAATGTAGAAAATCCGATCCAATATATAAACGTACACACACACACACACACACACACAATCTGCATTTTATAATAAGTAAGATATGTTTCATACAATTTCTCAAACTAATCAATGAAATTTGAATAAACTGATTTGTTTTGAAAAATACTTTAACCAAAACCCTACTTTGTGGTTTAATCATTTCTTTAATTTTTTTTTCCTTTTTAATAGCAAAGAATAAATTCTTAGGATTTCTTACTCTTGAACATGCAACATATAACTGGCCATGCATAAATATTTCTTTCTGGAGCAAAATTTCAACTTTTGGCCTCATGATTTGTTTATAGTTCTTACAAATGCAGGGTGAACTAGAAACTGGATTCTTGTATATATATAAAAAAACTTAAAGATATGCAAAAAAACAATATTGCATTTTTATTAAATACATATTTGTTGTTTTAATTATTAAATTGTTTTTAAAATAATGGGAGTATTTTGAATGTTAAATAATAAATCTTTTAATTTTTCCTGCAAAAAATTAATGAAAATTTATTGTACAAAGCTATGCACCATCTACAAACCTTAATAAAACCAATTGTACATTGTACCTCTTACCTGTTTGTGCTTCTTCCCAAAATTTGGTTTTGATTGGTCAATGTAGAGCTATTTTAAAGGGTGTGACAGATGGACAGATAGACAGACAGACTAACGGGAGTAGAAGATTCTACAATTATATTGTAGAGTATAAACTTAACTTAAGGAACTAATTAAGGGGAGATTTTATTTCTAAAATCCAATAAATCACTGGTAACAAAGTAGTAAAGTTCTGCAGACACAACCAAGGATCACTGAGAGCATTCATTTATAATAAATAAATGAAGTTGACTATAAATTAAACAACCTGAAACATTGAGATTCACACACACACACTATTGCTATATGTAGCAAGAGTTATTGTGTGTCTTTGTGTGAAAGTGAGAGATTGTTTTTTTATTTATATTGGAAACTGTCTATAAAAATAGCTGATAGTGGCTACATTTTCATTTTCTGCTAACAAGGTTGACATGTACCTAGTAACTTAACATGGACTCAATGAATGATTTGTTATAGTATTTATCTAACTTTGGTCAATAAAAATAAAGTCAGTTTGTTATAGCCCATGTGATCCGCAAGTAGTTCCTTAAATCCAATATTCTTTAAATTGAGAGATGATAAATCAAGATTTTTTTCTGTACTAGTTTTAACTTTCTCTAATACAGACACATGCCAAGTAGGGTTTGTTATTAATAGTGAAAAACCTGCCTTTAAAAATAGCTGAAACCACCAAGACTTTATTTAGGTACATTTGACATGTACCTAAGTAACTTAACATAGCCTCAATGAATGATCTATCATTTTTTCTAAATTTGTTCACCAAAAATAAAAAGGCAGTTCATTATGGTCCATGTAATAGTTCACTGGTTCTCAAATGGTGTGGCGCACCACATAGGTGTGGTAAGAAGAGGGTAGCAGGCGAGGCAGAATGATTGAAAGAAAATCAAAGATTTAGAAACAGTTTCAAAAAATTCATATGCCAAAAATAAATATGATTTCAAAATTTAAAACATTATTATGGATTACTTGTAATTGCATGCATGAGTCTCAGTATAAATAGTTATAAATATCTTCTTTTTTTTTTTAAGCATTTCACCCCAAGCAAGGCAGGATGCCATTAGTATGATGGGGGTTACAGAGTGGGAGTAAAGAGGTGTGATGGAGGAAAGGATGAAGAGAAGGGCAGGGATTAAGTCAGCGCATCTGGAGATGTCGATTGACATGACATTTGAATAGCTGGAGATTATAGCTATCAGGGAAACAAGTAATAAGAAGGGAATTCCATAAACAGGAGATGCGGGACATGAAGCTATTGGAGTAGAAGAGACAACTGATTTTATCATTGTGATATTTTTGCATTATATCAAGTATTAAGAAAACTAGGTTTTCCAAATTGAATGAGAGTGTTATCAATGATAATGTTCTGACTTCAAATCCACAGTTATCTCCCATTAACCCTCTCTCTTTTTTTTAAAATTTTTTAAATGTACTTTTTGTCACATAAAATTTGGTGAGGCACAAGCAAATTTTCATTCCAAAAATGCTGCCCAGAGAAAGTTTGAGAACTACTGTTGTAGTTGAATCAATACATGTTTTCCTTGAGATTTGTTTTTTTTATACCAACTATATTTGTATAAAACATTCAAGCAAAAGAAATGACATTTTCCAAAAATTTATCAGGAAGCCACAGATAGGATATTTATATAGGAATAGGTATACAGTGTCTTCAACATTTGTCTAAACAACTTAAAATGAAAATATAACAGTCACCAGTGACTGGAGACACGGCATAAACTGAAATACCATGTCACTAATATATGGTGACATGACAGATAGCATGCAAATCACCAATGTTGTGTAAAAATGTATAAAATATTAAACAGAACAATTGTACATACCTTTCCTTATTCATATTATATTATAAAAAGTACACAATAAATAAATTTTGGCAATGCTGATAAGCACACAACAAAAAATGTGTCAATTTGAATGAATATCTATCTGAAGAGATGAAGCTGTAACCATGAATACATGTACTAGAATCGTCCTTCCAAAAATGATTTTTTTTTCAGTGCAATCACATGAGGGTCACTAAGAGCAGTCATTTACAATAAACACGTGACCTTAGTTACACATTAAACGGCTCAAGATATTAAACTGAGTGTCTCTTTCACCTTCTCTCTATTTCATATAGACATACTACTTGTGAAGTACACTTTGTTATTTATAGTGGTAACTGTTTTTAAATCGGCACTTTATATTACTATGTTTTCTCATTTATATTAAATACTTCCTGAATATTAAACAAAACTAAGAATAGACAAATTTGTTTTTTTTAATCATTTCACCCCAAGCAAGCTAATAAAGCCACTAGGACATAAGAGGTTACTGTGTAAGAATATGAGAAAAACTATTATTAAGGAGAGAGGACAATAAAAGAATTAAGATTAAGAAGACAAAAGATAACAAATGACAATGTATTAATACTTATTGTGTTTTGGACTTCTTTCAAAAAAAAATTTAATTAATGATCTTTAAAGATTTTCACAGTACATCTACAATCCTCTTGAGGAACACCAGTTGAAAATCCCTGCTCTTGAAAATATGATTTAAAAACAATAAAAACAAGTGGCAGGAAAGTGAATAAGGTCAGCTAGGTTGTGTATCTAGACTCAATAGATGCTGGGAATTTAAAATTAAGTGTCCATGTATCTTTAGTGTTTCTATTGATGTATAATAACTGATGCTTGTTGCATTTCGTTTCTTCCCTTCTACATATATATGATTCCATCAATAAAACATTTAATCTGAAGAAGTCCTTTGGAAGGATGAAGCATATTACAAGGGATTTTTTCCATTTTGTCATTCAATTACACACCAGAAGATTTGAGATATAAGTCTAGATATAAGACTGATAAGTGAGTAGCCGAAATGAAAAAATAGAAAATAATTCCTACAGTAGGCATTTCGTCTTCCAAATGGACTTCTTCAGATTAATAGGGATGCACGGATGGCATAATGGATAGCGGCTCAGCACAAGAAATCAGAGATCTAAGTTTGAATCCCAGTCAAAATTCTGACATTTTTCATTTTATTTAGACTATTTACATTGTTCAGACTGTTATCCTTATCTTTATTATCATATGTACAACGTTTTGGCCAATGTATGCTCCAGCCTTCTTCAGGTGATATATGTTGGAATTTCAAACCGAACCCTTTATTTAGTCTACTGGAGTAGATTGTTCTAGTTCCACTTGTCATGCCTCTTCTGGATGTCTCTGTTTCAGTTATTTCCCTTTAGTAACTCAACTCCCCCAAGTTTTTGTTCACCTCTGCAGTAGCTAAGTATTGAACTCACAACTCTTTCGATCAAGTCACTGGATTACTTCAACTAACACTTTTATCCACTGGGTCATGTGTCTATCCCAGTGGACTAAATAAAAGGTTTGGCTACCATTATCCATTACACCACCCACACATCCTAGCTTACAGCACCATGTATTCCCAAGCACACTTTAATTGTATACATAGACAAAAGGTACAAAATAAAATCTCCACAATTACCTTGATAAAGTCTCTCAGTGAATGTAATGTGTTGGTAAAGAAAAATTTTACTTTTGTCTTTTATATATTTATATATATATATATATATATATATATATATATATATATATATATATATATATATATATATATAAGCGTAAGGTCCTCTGAGGGAAGTGGAAGGATGTAGAAGCTAAAGAAAGCTACTCCAATATACCAGAATAACAGAGGTGAGAGGGTAAAAGTATGAGGAAATATATATATATATATATATATATATATATTAATAAATACACATATACCTACGTTTGTAGTGCAAGTTAAAGTTTCATGCTTTCCCAAGTCATCAGGCACATATAGCAAAATGGCCACTTATTACAGTTGCTTTTTTAAAAATACTTGGAGAACCATAAAACTATAAGTTCTACTATAAAAATAGGTATATGTGTATTTATTAATAGTGTGGCCCTGGGTTTCATATCCCTGTTTAACTACATTGAGCACTGTTTTGTTCATACCATAAATTAATATTTGCTTATCTGCATATGTACGCTATCACATATATATACAGTTACTAATATCTTATTATTTAGTTTATATTCACACATGGCAAGAAGGAATGTATTATAAGTAATATGTATTATATTGAAAGTAATTTTCATTTAATCCAAGTACCCTTTTTTTTTCTGTGTAACAATTGAGGGGAAGTATGCAAAATAACAATGACCCACCCACCTAAATTCAAGTGGTATTTGTTTTGGGAAAGAAAAAAAGAACTTTAGTTAAATAAAAATAATTAGAGACAGGCATGAGTTACAGGCAACATTAGTCGTGTTGAATATTTGTTTTATGAATTTAACTGTGTTTTGTTTCCTTTTTAGGGCCATTTAGGAAGAAATAAATATAATTTGTGTACATATGTTAGAAATGCTGAAGTGTTGTTTCTTTTTTTCCTTTTAAAAAACAAATATAACTTGAATTTGAGGTTATGGTAGGGGGTCATTGTGTCAGTACATGTGTGTGTGTTTTTAGTAGTAATGAGAGATATAAGAGTTAGAATTTAGTTTTTACTGTGAACTGTGTTGCCATTGTTCAGGCTGGTCTCTTTGTAGTTTTCAGTGTGGCAGCTTTTTGTGTGCGAATGCGAATAGGGGTCTTGACTTCTGTCTCATGTCAAAATTTTGCACACCAAAAATATATATATATATATATATGGCATATTATATTTAAGGATATATATATATCTGATGATCACAAAAGCATGAAACCTAGGGCCACACAGAGTTCATACAACTATATATATATATATATATATATATATATATATATATATATATAAAATTAAAATTACAGAGAACCAATATTATTTACGAGTTAGAATGCCCCATAATGAAGTGTTCCTGATAAAAACCAAACTCATAATTATATTGGTCATACAACTACATGCCTATTTAGATGACTCACGTTACACCTATCCAACAATAACTCAATTAGGACTCATTTAAACACACACAGAAACCTATCATACTCCATCTGAAATGTACTAGCAGAAAATACAAGTATAATAACGTTGTCAACATTTAAAAAATGATTAAAATTAAGCACTAATAATAATAAAAGAAAATCCCACACTCAATAACATTAACTATGAACACGGCCACAACATGCTGACCATGTTTAAAAAATAAAACATTCATATAACTTCAGACACATACATAAAAAAATGCACACATTTTAAAAATAAAAATCATCCTTTATAATGGCTAAAAGAATAGTTGAAAGTGCTTTGGATATGCAAAACATTTGGACAGTTTTTACACACTGTGTGTCCAGATGGCGATTTTAGAACTCTTCTATGAAGGGTGAATAATCCCTTAATAAGGGCAGATAACTATAATAATAATATTATTTTATCACACATTCTATGGGCTCATAATTTTGTTCTGATTAAAAATGTACTTGCTTAGTTTTGACGCATCTAGTTTGTAGCTATCAGTAAATCTAAAACAAATTTTATAACATGAATAAATGCCTAACCCTGCATCTATTATAGGTTCCAGTTTTATGTAATATTTGTACACATAGAAAAGCAGACATAAATAAAAAAAAAAGAAAAAGGTTGAATCATGTAAACAAAATGAGAATAACAGTTTTCTTTCCCAAGATAAATCAGGTCAAGTTCACTCATTTGTGAGAAAGTCTGAGTAAACAAAGAAAAAAAAACAAAGTTTTGATTGGTCAAGTCAGGTCATGTTTTTGATTGGGCAAGTCAGGCCACTTCCCACTACTGGAATTTCAATGAAATCAAAATAATTGCGTTCTACCTGGGTGCGTTTATTTTATGTGTCAATGCTGTACCAGCTAGTTAATGGACAAAATCTTTGACAAACAACAGAAATGACCAACCCTACCTATAAGATCACTTTAGCTTGATTAATATTTCTTGTAATTTTAATTTTCTACTTATGAGTGTCTAGCATTCAGAACTTATAAATGGATGGCATTTATATTTTTAGATTGATTGATTTATTTTTTACAGCTTATCAACCCTTTGCAGGATATTTAAAGCCAGAAAATATTTTTAGAGTGTAAGAATTTTTTTTGGAGTTAATAATGGTTTAGTGATACACATATCTAGGTAGGGTTTTAAGGGAGGACAGAAAATGAGACTCTGAAATCCAAAGGTGCATTGGGATAGCAAAAGATGCCTTCCAAAATTGAAACAAAGTATTAAGAAACAAGAAAATTTTGTTAGAAATAAAGAAAAGAGTACTGAACTTTTACATAATATCAGTCCTCCTATATGAAAGTGAATGCTGGACAATTTCCACACAGATGTGGTTCTACAGAAGAATGCTTGAGAATACCATGGACTTAATATGTGTGTAATAGGGAAGTTTCAAGAAAAATGGTAACAAATCAGAAAGAGAGTTAAAATTTCTAAGGCACATAATGAGGAAAGAGGGTTTTGAGAATTTGGCACCCACAGGATTTATTTAAGGCAAAAGGGACAGAAGGGAAACAGTGAGTAACCCTAAAAAACTTTTGTAAATGGACCACAGAACAAAGAGTAGGAGGGATGGTGAAAAGACAAACATTACTAAGAGCTACAAAGAATAGGAAATTATGGAGAGACATGATTGTTCATGTCCTGAAGGGACAAGGTATACAGAGATAGTATTAATAGTAGTAATATTATTTTGAATATTTTATGAGATGAAACATTGTCAAGCATTCTTCATTTTTTATTAGGATTGCTTTCATCTTCATTTCAATTACTTTACTTCCAATAGTAGTATTAGTAGTAGTAATATTATCTAGAATTTTGATTAGATGAAACATTGTCAAGCATATAGATATCACATATCAGTCATTGCTTTCTTGAGAAGATGTGTAAAATATCAAATACAAAATTAGTGAAATACCTGTTAACTTGCAAAAATATTGCAATATCTTTACCAAAAGTCTGTTGCTTGTCGCCAAGGCATTCAAGAGGAGGAAATGTCTTGACATTTGGAGTTTATCTTTTGCTGCTAGAATGCTAATAATGTCTAATAAAAGACTTGATGTCGATCTGGATGCGGCTGAAATACTGTCTTTCTAAAAAAGAAAATAGATGCAAAGAAATTATTAGGAATTCAAACAAATCAATTCAAATTTAATATAAGGCAAGTTTACTTGTAACATCAAAAATGATGACAATTGTTAGAAAGTTTTAATAGTCAGATGCAATGAAACAAAAGTTTTGAAACAATGTAATGAGATACAATAAAGTGTCGGTAAAGAATTCACAACTAAAATAGAGGCAAATGAATTATTTAATTAATCCATTTTCTTTATATTCTTAGACTTTCAATGGTATTGCTGAATCATTGATTATTATATAAATCATATTATACATTCCGTTTTAAGTAATAAAAGTGACTAAACAGAAATATGTAATCCTTTGTAAGCATTATAGTAATGATTATAATTATAAATTACTTTTTGCTCAATATTTTTTATTATTATATTTGATATATGAATTGCTTTTTGCTCAATATTTTTCATTATTATATTTGGTATTATATGAATTGCTTTTTTTATGTGTTCAATATTTGAAATCAAAATATTTTTCAGAAGAAAAAGATTTGAAACAGGACAACAATGATGGCAGTGACAAAACCTATTTTAAGACCTAGTTGAAGTAAGACAATCTTTAGACAAAGGTATTTGAGTGCCTTGCTTGAATAAATAAGACTGCAATCATAAAAGAATTATTCATTTTGCTCGGGAAGTAATTTATTTAAATGCAGATAAATATTTTATTTTTATAGATTATTAAAACGACTAAGGAAAGTAATCATAAATTTACTAACTTAAGTTGATTTACCTCCCTTCCCACTACAGATGGGACAGGAAATATATAAATACACATTGATAATTATTATATGGTTTGATTGATGATTGTATTTCATGTAGTATAAATAATTAATTTTGTATGTGTATCTGTACAATCTTCTGTATGTCTTTGAAATTGCATTTTCCAATATTATAAAATATTGAAAATTATGTTATATATATTTGTGATTTTTCAAATTTGTGAATCAATTAGAAAATAGTTCAGTTACTATAATACTTAAAAAGGATTAGATATTTCCATATAGTCGCTGAAAGATTTGAATATTTTTATTACTTAAAAAAGAATACATATGATCCCACAAGTTTCAAAGCTCAGATCTTATGAGTGAGATTTAGTCTCTAACTTTACGAGATCACAATGCATTATTAGTTTATAATTGTTATAAGAATATAAAATAAAAAGAAGTAATTGATAAATTACTTTTCTGTTAACTTGGTATGCACTTGGCTACCTTTCAGGGAGCATTGGTACGTCTGGGCAGACCTGTTGAGAAATGCTGCATTACAACAGAGAGCATTAAGATAAACTATGTCACTTTTTTTTTTTTTACATTTACACATGGACTGTTGTCCTCGTCTTTGTTGTTGTTATTACAACATGTTATATAGGAATAAAGTGTCACTGTCAACACTGGAGTTTGAACACAGATTGCCAGCGAACAAACATAGGTGATCCCAATTTGAATAAGTAGATCACCTCATAGTAAAATAAATGCATATATGGGAATTAGCATGGTGTCTAATTGATCACCATTTCTATTTTATCCTCTATTACTATACAGATCATTATTTCTATTCTATCCTCTATTACTATACAGATCATTATTTCTATTTTATCCTCTATTACTATACAGATCGCTGTTTCTACACTATCCGCTATTACTATACAAATAATATTTTCTATATAATACAGATCATTATTTCTACTATTATTATATCTATTTCTATACTATACTATACAGATCTCTATTCACTATACTATTTATCTATTTGGTTCACTACATGGATACTATTTGGTGGTTACTTTTCAAGTGAGTATTATGAAGCAAGTACTGAGTGTTATTCGAAGGCATTTGACACCAGTATTGTTCAACAGTGTTATTATAGTTGTATCTGTGATTACAAAGTCTCTACTACAACAAGCATTATTAAAGTGGCAATGAGTATTCGTTGATATTACAAGTGGCAATGAGTGTTTGTTGACATCACAAAACAACATTTATTCTATTCATATGATGAAACTGAAAGAGCAGATGTAACATTCAAAAGGATAGAATAGAAAGAGTAATTTCTTGTTCAAAGTGACAGGGCTTGACCAGTCACCTGATACAAAAAAAATGACCAAGAAGAAATTGGGAGAGCTTAATTACAGCTCCAGGTTTGAATCACTTTCACCAAGCAAGAGTACCAGGCATCCTGCCACTTACTTAAATACAATTAGCTTCTATGGAAATCTAACATTAAGAATGAGTACGATGGAGTAATGGATAGCGGCTTGGATTGAGGAATCGGAGAGCCGAGTTTGAATTCCAGTTGAATCCATTACATTCACTTATGTGCTAATACTCTTGGGAAAGGTATGAATCCTCTTCTTCTCCCCCCAGCTATGAGTAAATAGCAGGACAGACCGGGTTCTATAGCCTTAGATGGCAACTGGTCTACTGCAGAAAGAAATGGCAACCTAATGCGGGAAGAAAACTGCCTTGTCAGTCATGTATTGAAAGATACATGATTGCCTAAGCGTCTATCACGTATGGCACATAAATGACTGACTTCTATACAGATTTTAATTAGGTATGCTCTTCAGAATGCCAAATGGTCCGCAGTTTGCCCATGGTTGATCTTAACAATATAAACATCAATGCTTAACTAACAATGACATTGTCCCTGTAAAGTAGACATAAAAGAAGGGAATAGCAATTTCTTGTTTAAAGTGATAAGGCTTGACCAGACAAGTAATACAAAAAAAACTGACAAAGAAATTGGATGAGCTTAAATACAACTCCAGGATTGAACCACTTTTACCCAGATAGAGTGTCAGCCCTTATTTAAATACAATTAGCTTCTACAAAGATCTAACATTAAGAATGAACATTTCTATAAAGATTTTAATTAGGTATGCTCTTCAGAAAGCCAAATAGGCCATGGTTTGCCCATGGTTGATCTTAACAATATAAACTTCAATGCTTAACCAATGAGACCATTGCCTCTGTAAGAGTAGATATAAAATCCTAAAGAAGGTAATAGCAACATCAATTTCCTGTTCAATGTGACAAGGTTTGATCAGGTACCTGAAAGTATTTATTGATGAATATATAACATCAAGTTTGGTACAAGGCCGAATTTGGGACAAGTGGAGGCTGGTCTTCATCTCTCCTACATTTAACTTAACTAGTCTCAATCACTGACCCACTTATCCATTAATGTTCTATTCATCACAATGCCATATTCTTGCATAGCATTCTTTACTGCAGTCACTAAAATTATGAGGACATAACTAGTCCTTATATATATATATGAGGGAAAGTCAAAAATTGTCCTCATCTTTGTTGGTATTACGACAATGTTTTGGTGCTTGTTGAACTGGGTAACCATTAAGGAATTTCAAACAGAACCATTTTATAAAACGGTAAAAAAGTATTAGTTACTTTCATAATGTCTGTTGTAATGATTTCTATCCAGCAGTCAATCGTGTGAGAAACCATCTTCTCGCATTCTATCGAAGAAAACTGGCATTCTTTGGTCTTTGGATTGCACGGTAGGTCATGAGATTTGCCTGCAATGTATTTGCTGATATCAGACAGAGGCTGGTAGAAAAGCTGAATTAAATTTTCTCCAAGTTCTTCATTTGAATATCTGCAAAACAGTTAAAAAAAAGAAAAAAATATGATTTTCACAAATGAGGTTTAAAATGGTTTCCCTGGGCCTTCCTGGTTTTGTGCTAGAGAATTTTTCTTGTGAGAATCTATCTTACACATGTACTGAATATTGCAGCCACATATGGTCTGGTACTCTTGCAATGCATTTAGGGATTCTTGATATCAGAAGCAGAATCTGCAATGTTATTGGTGCTGACCTGGCTCCACAGATTCAGTCACTTTCCAACTGCTGTAATGTGGTTTTCTATATTTTCATAGTAATCGTTCTGATAAATTTTCCTCTATGGTAACTAGACTTTAGGAATATAAGCACAGTACTAGATTGGTAATAAGGTCTCATCAATATACAGTTGAAATGGCTAAATGTAACCTTAAGTATGTGCATGTATATACAAAACACACACACACATATATATATATATATATATATATATATATATATATATATATATATATATCCTATTAGTTATGGCCAAAATAAGAAAAGAAGATGCAGGAAGATCATTTGGTTTACTCCTTCTTTTAACCTAATGGTTAAAACCAAACTAGGACACTAATAATAACTTGTGCAGTTGTAGGAATCCCAATAACTGCCCATTACAGAATAAATGTTTAACTAGTTCTCTAGTTTATCTTAGTACGATTTCTACACTAGAAAACCCCAATATTAAAAAAATTTACATTGGAAGTACTATGAACATATTCAAAGAGTGTTGGCATGGACATGTGCAATCTTTCAACAACAGTAATCATAAATACAAGACTTCATTGTCCAAGTATTTTTGGAGTTTAAAGGAGAAAAACAAAACACCTACTGTTAAATGGAAATTAATTAAAGCAGCTCGAGCATGTAATTCCCTATATACCCCTTGTTATTTGTGTCTTAATGAAAAATTTGAAATCATTAGATTTAAAGACAAAATCCATCTCTTAAATCAAAGGAATGAACTCACTGTTAACTATAAACATAGCTCAAAATTTAACCTATTATAGGGGTAATAATATTTTCAATGGTAATGCAAAGTTATTGTAAGTTTAATATGTTATCACTTATGTTATCAGCTAATCCTCCTATTTATGTACATATATGTATGAAAACGTTTATAATGTTGTTTGTTTGTGTGTGTACATGTGTGTGTATTTTTATGTAATGATGTATGTATGTGTGTATATGTATTTATATATGTACATATATATAGATATATGTTTGTATTTGCAAATATGTATGTATATATGAATATATTTGTACTTGTATTTATGTTTGTGTATATGTATGTATTTATGAATGTTATGTATGCACTTGTTTATATATTTATGCACATATATATTTATGTGTGTGTATATATATATATATATATATATATACACATGAATATATTTTTGTATATGTGTATGTTTTAGTGTTTTTAAATTGATTATCAATGCTAACTATATAATCTACTTTTGTTTGATAATGATTTTAAAATTTCTTGTGGACTTAATAATTAACAGTTGTGTTTCATTACACTAATTTTAACCTTGAATGAGTTCGGAATCATAGTAATTTTGATAATACTGTTATTTTTTTTTCTTTTTTAGTTTGCATGTTTCTACTTATTTTTATATGGGCGTTTATACTTAGATATTTGTATATATTTGTACATATATGTCAGTGTGTTGGTTTATTTTTGTATATTTTTTTATATGTAGCTGTGTAGGTTGATATGTTTGTATATATTTCTATGTGTGTGTGTGTATATATATTTATGTATATGCATGTGTGTGTATGTATATATATGTGTGTGTGTGTGCATATATATGTATGTGCATGTTTATATATATATAAATATATATTTGAGTATGTGTGCTTATTCATGTATGTATGTATCTGTATGGATTTATGTGTATGCACATATGTGTGCACTTATATATATATATTTTTATATGTTTGTGCTAGTGTATGTTTTAATATATGAGCATGCATATATGAGTATATATGAGGTATTCATATATACTTGTGTGTCAATATGTTTTCTTTTCTATATATTAGCTGGTTTTATTTTCCATGTTGCATTTTGACTGGACATTTGAATTTGGTGGTTGGTTTTGTTTTGTTTTTTTTTATTTGCATATATATTTTGTCTTTCCATTTGTATATATTGCCTTTTTTCTTTGCTTTGTTCATTGCTGAATATTTGTTTTCCTATTATATCACTGTTAACTTTCTTTTTATCTAAAATATTTAAATTAATATTATAATTAATTAATTTATAATTAAATTATTTAAATTATTATTTAAATTTAAAACATTACTTACATGGGCAAAAAATATATATATCTTTGCCAATTTAAATAATATTTTAATAGTTTGCATTCCCTTATTAATACTTTCAGACTTGAATCTTTTTGGTTTTGTCTATATATATATATATATATATATATATATATATATATATATATATATATATATATATATATATATATATATATATATACATATATATATATATATACATACATATATATATATATACATATATATATATATATATATATATATATATATATATATATATATATATATATATATATATATATATATATATATATATATATATATATACATACATATATATATATATATATATATATATATATATATATATATATATATATATATATATATATATATATATATATATATATATATATATATATATATATATATATATATATATATATATATATATATATATATATATATATATATATATATATATATATATATATATATATATATATATATATATATATATATATATATATATATATATATATATACATATATACATATATATATATATATATATATATATAATTGGAGGTAGAGTAATAGTGTGAGGTAACCGCTTGTAGAAGTCACAGTTACGAACACGTAGACTTTAAGGAAGCCCTACTTCGAGACTATATATATATGCCTTTCATTGTATGTATACGTGTCTGATATTATATTTCTTTCTTTTTGGTCGTGGGGAATCTATTTCCTGTTTCATCTGTGTTTTTGCGTGTTTATATATCTAAATATGTCTTGTGTTTGTATATTATAATATGATTGTGTATGTATTGTCATTTGCAAAATTTCTTTCCCTAGCCATATCAACACTTCAAAAGTATCTAAGTTGTTACAATATTTGTATCTCCTTAGATTTGCTCAGAGATTTTATCTTTTCCATTAAAACAAAATAAATAATAAAATATATGTATTGTTTTCCTCTGTTCCTTCTTTAAATAATTTTATAATATTCTAAACTTAATACAGATTAAATTTAAAATTGGTCATTTTTAATTTTCAATTTTATAGTAAAATTTAATATTAGTTAGAATGATTTCTATTTTAACATTAAGGCATTAATTATTATAACCAAGGTTTGTTGTCAAGTTTTTTTTAATTTTCATATACTTGACTTGTATTTTGATTGGTCATTGTAGCTTATGTAACAGTGTTTCCTCTATTGAGGGGGTGTTTCGTTGATTTGAACTTTTTTAAAACTCTTTATTCTACATTCAACACCATCACTTGAGAAGACACCAGAAGTGTTGAAACAAAATGGCTATTTTCATAGTGATTTTATAACATGTTTATGTTATAATTTTTTAATAAATAAATAATTTATATATATATATATATATATATATATATATATATATATATATATATATATACTAGCAGTAGAGCCCAGCGTTGCCCGGGGATGTAACAGTAAGAGATAGATCAAGTATCGACCATCATAAAAACTGAAAAATAAAACTGACAAGGATTATTGTTTAAGGTTGGCGGACACGCATGTCTTAATTAGTTTTTTGTTTTTGTTTTTTTTTACGAATTGGTCAAACCCAAACTCAAACAAAAACATTGTTTTCAATCGTTATGAGTCTCTCGATTGAACAGAATTTTTTTTATAAACAATTGTCTTGTAAATAGAATTTTTAAAGCATTCTGAATGTAAAAATAAAGAAAAAAGTGTGCAAGACAATAAGAATCACTACCTGCCAAAAAAAAGTGAACGGTTGAAAAATGTTGGAAATCCGATCCCATATATAAACGAACACACACACACACACACACACAAAAACAACCTGGGTTTTATAAGTATAACTCGATATGAATTGTCCCCCTTTCATTCTGGTGACAGAATTGTGTTTTAACGTGTCTTCAAGTTGATTTTGTGCAAAAACATTTGTGATTTTTCAATTTTTGGCGCTGTCAGAACCACCACAAGTCCTGTGAAGTTTTGTTGAAATCGGTTGAAAAATGTAGGAAATCCGATCCAATATATAAACGTACAGACACACACACACAATCTGCCTTTTATAATAAATAAGATATATATATATATATATATATTTAAGCAATATACATAAGACCTTACATTAATAGCACAACTTGGAGTTTCATGCACAAGTAATTTTCGAGTGCTAGAATTATAATATTTACTTTTATTTCTATTTAAATGTTGGGTTGACACTGTTTTTTTCTGGATTGCATGAGATATTGTTGGGGTAGAATATTATTGGAGTCAAAAAATTTAAAAGAATTGTAATTTGAATTTAAGCTTAGATCAACTTTTAAGATTGAAAGTTATTATATATATATATATATATATATATATATACATACACAAACACACACATCATTATTATCCCATACCTACCCACCAATTACAGCATCGCATCCACCAACGAATTCCTCCAGATTCTAAAAAGTATAAAACCAAAGCAAGGTATCTTAGCGTCACTCAATGTTGAAAATTTATTCACTCATCGCCGTCGATCCAACCATTGACATTATTCTTAACTTCATGTGCATAATTCTATCCCACCTCCATCCATCAAACCAAATATCCTCAAAAACTTATTATATGCATTCATACCCAAAGTCCCCTTCTACCACCATAATGGCAACATGCAAACTAATGGTGTTAGCATGGGAAATCCACTTTGCCCATACTTCTCCAATTACTATTAGTTCCATGTAGAAAACAAGATATTTAAACAGGTCCGTAAACCTAAAATATATGTCTGCTATGTAGGCAATATTTTTATTTTAGTGAAAAAACACAAAAAAAATAGATACTCTCAAAACCACATTTGAAAAAAAAACTGTCCATAACTTTATCTATGAACTCAGTCCAAAAAAAATAATAAGTGTTTAATCTGATATGGCTAAAAAATATGGGAATGTGGGGAGGGTTACCTTGATTGTTTTGAAAAACAAAATTCAAGGGACTATAATATGCACATAAATTAACTTTTTATTTAACATTTCTAAGAGAAAATTATTATTGTTCTTTCTCCTTAATAATATTTTTCTTTTTCTCTTATTCTTTCACACTCAGAAACCCCTCTTGCATCTTAGTGGCATTATTGTTTGATTTAGGGTGAAATGATTAATATATATATATATAAAAATTTGATTGAGGATGAAATGGAACTAATATCTTTATTTTAATCACAAAATTAAATTTGAAGCTTTTAGCTTCCATTTTTGAAACATAGTTAGAACTGTGTAGAGAAAAAAAACATATTTTAAATCAGTTAATTTATAACATTAATCCTCTGTAAATTTACATTGAGCACTATTTTGTAAAAATAAAAATATCTATAAGAACACCAGATTATATATCTTACTGTTCTTTCTTTATATATATATATAATTATGTTTTAAAAATGTGATTCCATCGCTACATAGGAATTGACATGTTTCCAAAACAAAAGCTAAAAACTTCCAATTCAATTTTAGAAATTAAATTAAAATTAAAGCACCGAGTTCTGTTTCATCCTCAAGTGAAATTTGGAATAACTAATTTTGAAATTTACAGAGCTTTAAAACTTTAAAAATAAAAAAAAAAAACGCTAAAGAAATTCGGATTATTAACCTAACAGTTCTTTTCTATTTTTTCAATATATCTGCACACACACACACACATATATATATATATATATATATATATATAAAAGAAAGAACAGTTAGATTTATAATCCAGAGTTCTTTAGCATTTATTTTTAAAAAACAGTGCTCAATACACAATAGAGCATAATATAATTATTTTTTTAAAATATGTTTCCATCATGACACAGAAATTACTATGTTTTGAAACAAAACTTAAATTAAAATTAGACTTAAAATTTTGTAAAAGTTTCATTCTATTTTCATGTGATGCTGAGAATAAACTTAAAAAAATTTGATTTACTCTAATTATAAGCCAAATAGTATTTTATATTTAAGTTGGTGGAGTAATGAGAATTCAAAATTTTTTATTAAGAGGGTGTTGGCTTTTTTGATGAATGAAAATAAAAGTATAATTTTTATGTGGCAAAAGTCAGTTAAGATTAGGTGGGGGCTTAGAGATTTCTGTCTATTGATACTGACTTCATCTTATGCAGATTTGTCATCAATGTCTCATTTTTTATTTTATTTTGAGTTACAATACAATATATTTGGCATTTATGTTTATTTTTTGTTAATTTTCTTGTATTCTGAAACTACATTGAAATTTTTTTAAAGGGGTATTCAAATATGATTAAGTCATATTATTTATATTAATATTTTAATTTATAAAGATCTAAAATACTATATTTATTTTATTTACTAATAAACTATATATGGTATCAAATAATAGATATATAATTATGCAAATTATTTTTATAATTAATTGTTTTTAAGGAAAATATGAGACAATGTCTACAAAAAAACTGCTATTTTATTTCTTTGATTTAATAAGTTTTTATTTTTCAGAAACTTAATAATATATAAATTTTCATGTAGGCACAAAGGACATGGGTAATTTAAAGATCTATATGTTCTCAGTTTTTTTTTTTTTTTAATTAGTTTCCATTTTAATATTGGTGTTTTATTTCTTTCTTTTAAATGCCAAAATTATTTAGATAGGAATGTTTGGTTGTGATACTCAATATTATTGAAGGAAGTCAGATGATGTCTCCATCTTAATTTAAATTCATTCTTAGTACACCCTATATAGAATTTCTCAACATTAGGATTCTCAATAGATGAGATAGTGCAGTGCTAAACTACAGATTCTGTGCAACATTTATAATTCAAAGGACAATTTTCAGGATTTCTACAGTCACATAATTTATCTTTACTATTGTTTATTCTTATTTCTGGATCACTATTTGATTCAGGCTTAAGTATTTATTCAAGATTTTGTTATTATGTTTTTGATAATCTTTTCTAAATTTTCAGTACAGCTGTAACTTAATTTTAGTGTATTTTCATTAAAAATTTTGCTAAGGGTATTATTTCTATGAAAATGTTTTTCAATTAAAGCAAGAAATTTATGTCCTTACTTACTCCTAACCATTTGGTTGAATGGTGGTGTGCACCAAATGTTTTTTTTATTTCTTCTCTAGTTTTTATTATCATTTTTATATAATTGATATTAGGGCATTTATAGCCACTATTCTTTAAAGCTGTATTATAAAAATTACTGTGTTCATAGAATATTTTTTCATTAGCAGAATTTATACTTATTCTTTTTTCAATAGATGAAGGTATATGCTTTATTATAGATGGAGGATGATTTGACTTGGGGTGTATATATAAAGGATTAGCATTAGGTTTTTTATAAGGTTGGTATATATTATTCATTAAATCTAAAGTTATATTGAGGAAGTTTACCTTTTTTAATTTTGTATTAACAGTAACTTTCAAATTAGACATTTAAATTCTCTATGTATTATCTTTCTAATGTTATCAATTTTAAAGTTTGTAGACTTCCTCACAACCATAAGGCCATCATCCCTATACAGTCCAATATCTTTAATATTAATTTCCCAGTGTGCACTTAGATTATATAATATAAATAGAACAACAAGGTCAGAAGACTCAGCAGAATCCAATGATCCCATTGTGATGTCAAAATGATCTTCAGAATATTTTACCCATTGGTTGCCATTATGAATGAGGACAGTTATTTTTTTCATTTATAATTGTGTTTCTTTCCTCCTTGGGAAGAAACTGTTTGAGTGAAACTTACTTCTTGCCATATGGATAGGAGAGGAAGATAACGGTTAACTCTAGACTTGAACAGGTTAAGGTTGTAGTGATTGGGGAAACATCTTCTTGGAAGTCTGTTCCAGAAGGCAGTGATTCATAGGAAGAATCTGTTTGTGTGAAACTTACTTCTTGCTGATGGAATATGGAGGGAATCTGGGTGGTTTGCTACTATGTAAGTGGCAGGTCCTAACCGTGAAGGCCAGACCTGGTGGGACCAGGAGATGCACTTCCTCAAAGCACTTTCCATGGTATTAACGATAAAGCAGTGAGAGGCTCCACACATCCCACCTGTGAGAGAGAGAGAGAGGTTGGAGTGGAAAATAATTCTTCTCCAACAAGGACTCGGAGATGCTTTTGAACTCTATCAAGACTTTTGGAAAGTGAGGTTTGGGTAGCTCCTGCTCAAATATGGCAACAGTACTCCATTTTCAGTCTGATCTGTTAACAATCTTTCCTGCAACATTCAGATTAGAAGAAAATGTGCAAAAAGCACAGGAAATGTTCAAGGATATATCCAAACAATTAGAAAAAAATGGTAGACAACTGCTGGTGGCTATGTGGAATTTCCACACTGTACTATACTTCTACCACTATACTGTTCAAAATGAAATAATGTTGTGTCGTAAAAGGTTGACACACACATAGAAAATAAGCAGTAGTTTATTCCGGAGAATAATATGGTACACGGTCGAGAGCATAGGCTAATCTAATAGACAGTTAATTGTTAACTCTTCTCCTTCAATAAGAGAGAGTACTGTTTAAATAGTTTTAGACCAGTCCATTTTGTGGTGGTGTTCAGCTATTCCACAACAAATGTTTCATGAAGATCGACCAATAATTAATAAAGTTATTAACAATTTTAAATAGTATTATATTTCTAGTGTTGAGGATACACTGACTTCAATGACTAAGTTTAGACTTGTAAAAAAAAAAAAAAAAAAAAAAAAAAAAAGGAAAAGAAAGAAATAGAATAGATATAAAACTAAATAAAAAGTAACCTTTAACCTGACCTAGGGAGGCACAGTGCAAATTTTCAAGAATTATTTTCAGAAAAATAGTATCTTCATTGTCTAGAAATACAGTACCTTTGTTTTTTTATTTCACATACCTTTTCAGAAATTTCAAAATGAAGGTTTGTAATTTTTTCTGCTCCTTTTTCTCTTTTAGTTTGTTCAAAACATCCAACATCTTGTCTTCCTGATCAACCACAACACTGCAGAAAAAAAATTATATTATATTAATCATTTCACCCCAAGCAAGGCAATAATGCCACAAGAGTGAGAAGACTTTAGTGAGGAAAAGGGACAATAAAAGAAAAGATTTAAATTATTGAAGATTGTAGGTAGCAGGGAAGCAAGAAATTGGAAGGCAGTTTCACAGGCGAGAAGAAGGAAAGAAACTATTAGAATAGAACATACGGTTGCATCTAGTTAATTCAACATTAAAGTGGTGGGACCTAATTGCCAATCTAGTAGCATCCTAAAATTCATGCAGTTGGGGCATCAAAGAGGAAAGCTCATCGGAACAATTGAAAATATTTGCAGAAAAGACAGAAGGAAGCCATACCACGTTGGTGAGAAAGTAACTTAAGTTGAGATGCCAGGTCAAGATCGATTAAATTACAGATCCCTCTTTGAATTTTGTCAAGAATCTCGAGATATATAATGGGAGTGCCAGACCAGATAAGGTAGCAATATTCAATGTACAGATGGGAATGGTAGATTTATAAATGTGCAAAATGGATTCTGACAAGAAAAATTGTTTGGCACTTATGGCATTTTTCTTTCAGGAATTGTTGGACTATTTCTGTCTGAATTTCTGATGAGGTTTTTGTATAAACATTTTTTTGTTCGTGATAATTATTTTTGTTGTCATTCTCAAGAACAAAGAAAATGTAAAAATTCACTTTCATATGTTTAGGTTTTATTACAATTCTAATCATTGCTCTTTAAAACAATAAACATTGTCAAGGAGTGAAGTTATAAATAAAAGGTATAAAAAAAGAAGGTATACTTAAAATAATAGCAATGTCATGAGAAGAACTGTCCTTTTGACACTGGTTTCTTGTGGGCATGAAGGTCCAAGTTTTCTGAATAAATATAGTTCAATAAATAATCAAAATTATCTCTTCGTTTTAACTCACCATTCCTGGTAAAGAAGATCAAGGTAAATATCAATTGCTTGAAACCATAGTTCTGATGACGTTGCATTTATTATAATCACAAAGAGTATTTGTAAGACGTTTTCCTGTTTTGCCAACCAAGACAAAACAACTTTGCAGTTAGCATTGGCTTGACAGAGCAGAAGGAAGACAGGCTCTAGAAATGGGTTGTGATTTGTAAAAAGTCCTATTGGTGCTGGAGAGCAAATATAATCCCAACATTTCTTCAGCAGCATATGCTGGACATCCAAAACAAATTGGCAGTTGTCTGGCTGGGTTTGGACACAAGTACACTGGACAATGAGCGAGGCCATTAAATTGCTGGCTTTTTTTGTAAGAAAAATGCTTGATTCTCCCTGGATTGCGTTGAAAGTTTCCTTCGAAATATCTGCAACAGAAAAGAGAAAAAGTTGAAATCTACATTACAAAAAAAGAGCTGATTTTTGTCCGTTGCACTTTACATGTGAGTTTGTATGCATATATGTAATGTATATGTACATGCCGATATGTAATGTATATGTGCATGCATATATTTAATGTATATGCATATATGTATTGTATATGTGCATGCATATATGTAATGTATATGTGCATGCATATAAGTAATGTATATGTGCATGCATATATGTAATGTATATGTCCATGCATATATGTAATAAAATATGCATATATGTAATGTATATGTGTATGCATATATGTAATGTATATGTGTATGCATATATGTAACGTATATCAGTTGTGCGTGAGTGCCTTATGCATGCTTTTGTCATTTAAAGTACACACACACAAAATTTAACTAAATCTAACTTTTTGTTTTTAATCTTTTCACCCCAAGCAAAGTGACAATGCTACTATAATGCTGCAGGTTATTTTGCCAGTGCAAGGGCTTTTACCTCCATCTATGAATTTATGATATGCCCCCCCCTCCCAAGTATACTACATCTCAATTTTCATAAGGTAGTATTCATATAAAATACAAATTTTATTGTAACTTAATTATATACAATAATGGATCATATGCAATATAAGTGAACAATTAGAAAAATTGAAAATAAATACAATGTATCTAAATGCAAATTAGAGACATGTCATAATAGATCATTTCATCTTAAATAAATCAAATTATTGTAACCTAAATATGTACAATAATGAGTCATATGCAATATAGGTGAACAATTCAACTAGAAAAATTGAAAAGAAATACAATGTGTCTAAATAAAAATTAGAAACATGTCATTATCATAATAGATCATTCCATCTGAACTAAATCAAAAATGTTTTGCGGCAATTTTTAACACCAAGTTGAGACTGCATAATTTTAACACATTCAACGTTATGGATAAAAAATAGTTAATTTTACAGCGTTTTTTTTTTTAGACTTAGCATGTGCGAAACAAATTCACACATTTGGAGGGAAAGAAAAGATGCCAGAATGGCATCAAAATCTGTGAAAATTTTTCATTCTTTAATAGTCACTTGTGCTTAGTTTAATTTGTAATGTATATAAATGTAGGTAGAAAATATGTTGATAAGATAATGAGGGTTCGTGTCTATATTTCTGAGATGAGGTATTATGTAGACTATTTACATTATTTGGACTATTGCCCTCATCTTTGTAGCCATGTTTATCACAAAGACACATAGCACAGTGGATAAAGGTGTTAGTTGTCAGTTATCTCCTGTTAATTCCCCTCTCCACGTTTTCCACTGCCTTAACCTTGAGGACACATGGCACAGTGGATAAAGGTGTTAGTTAGATCCAGTGACAGGACCCAAAGAGTGTGAGTTCAATACCTGGTTAAGGCGGTGGAGAACTTTCAGAGGGGAATTAACAGGAGATAACTGACATCCATTAAACATGGCACATGGAACTAGAACAGTCTACCCCAGTGAGAGAAATAAAGAGTTCAGTTCGACATTCCAACCACCTGAAGAAGGCCGGAGCATACAACGGCCAAAATGTTGTGATAAACATGGTGACAAAGATGAGGACAATAGTCCGAATAATGTAAATAGTGTACATAATGAGGGTTGCAAAGCATTGCCCTGGATTCCCAAAAAGCTCACCCTCCCAGTTGAGGGATTTGGGGCTGGTACATGCCAGGCCTGGTTAAGGGAGTTAAAGAGAATAGCAAGACTTTAGAGGAGAAGCGAGAAAAAGGACAATAGAGGAACAAGATTGAGGAAGACAAAATGGTGATTGATGTTACATTTAAATTTTTGAAGATTGCAGATGGCAGCAAAGCAAGAAATCAGAGGAAAGTTCCACAGGTGAGAAGTGTTAGAAAAGAAACTATTAGAATAGATCACAGTAGCTAGTAAAACAGTGAAACATATGCAAATACCTTTAGAAAAGGTATGAATCCATCCTCTTCCTCCAGCTATGGCTTAAAAAGCAGAACTTGTATGTAGAAAAATCATTGTTATTCTAGCAAAATGTGAACAGAGAGTTTTTTTCTTTGGCTGCTTGTTTGTTTTGTTTTACAGCATATCAACCTCTACAGATTATTTAATGCCAACAAGATTTTTATTGCTGGTAATATTTTTATTCAAAAATGTATTGCTGGTAAAATTTTTTTTTTTCAAAAATGTATTGCGGGTAATATTTTATTTTTTTCAAAAATATATTTCTGGTAATAATTTTTTTCCATCAAAAATTCATTGCTGGTAATTTTTTACAAAAATGTATTGCTGGTACTAAAACCTATTTTTTACACTTTGATAGTGTTTTGACACCATAGCTGGGACCCTAACAAGTGCTACCACCCCAGGTCAGAGTGGACTTGGGAACACCAGCAATTAAGAGGTGGTTCCACGCTCCTCAAAACCTCCTGATCAGAGGCCTTGCTGCTGGACGTAGTTTATTGTCTTACTCAGGATGCAGATGTAGTTTATCATCATATACAGGACGGTTCTTTGGCTGTTTGATATCAGAGCAAATGGACTGTTGTCAAATATAATGATACAAGCCACCAATTCTAATATTATCATTTTGTGACTTGTATTTCTTTTCTTTTATTTCTCTTACTTTTTATTGGAACTGTCAGTTCTAAGTGTAATATGTGGCAATCAGTGTGATGTTAGAGGAGCCTGGTACAGGGTTGACAAGAGGAAGCCTTCTAGCAGTTGAGCACAGAATACGATCAAGCCAGCTGCACCTGGGTTGCAAACATGGGCTAGAATCATATTACAGGGAGATATATAAAAAGACTACTCTCAAAAAGGAGAAGGGCAGTCTCTCCCAGACATCACATGAGAATGTAAGGTCCACATTCAGTTGAGGACCCAGAACCCTGCACAGAACACACACACAGCCGATAGTAACTGACAAAGTTTGAAGTTGAATACAATATAAGTCTTGTGTTCTAATTAATTAGCATGACAATATCATTGCATGGCTCAAGTAGTTTTGTTTTTTAATAAATTTCCCCATATAAAGCTTGAGAACCACTCAAGATAGAGTGTTGAAATTGTAATGATGAATTTGTGATAAGAGTGGAAGAGTAAGTAGTAAGAAGTGAGGATAAGGAGGATAGATAATGATCAACCCTTGGCTTGAATAGGTCAATATTAAAATGTTCAAGGAAGCCCTCCTCCAAGAGTCTGTTTTACAAATTGGGAGTTCTTGTGGTAAAAAGCTGTCTGAGTGGAACATCCTCTTTACAATTGAAATATGAAAGGAATGAGAGTGATTTGACTCTGTGGATGTAGCATGGTGTGTCCTAGCAATAAAGACTAAAAACTACTGAAACCAAAGTACATTTGCCATGAAAATAGTGATAAAAAATAGGAGGCATGTGATGATGTGTCTGTGGGAAAAGAGGCTGCCGAGTGGAGAATAAAATTTCCCTTAAATGGCAAAGAAATAAAAAACAAACATTAAAACAAAATTATTCATGATCTATATCACTTAATGGACATAGTCAAAAATGAATAATAATTGCCAAGGTTTCATCTAGGAAATTCAGACAACTTAAGACTATTACTACTTGGTGGAAAAGCAAGAGAAATAAGATGAAAAAAATACTAGTGAAAATGAATAATGACAAAGGACTTCATCTAGGAAATTCAGACAACTTAAGACTATTACTACTTGGTGGAAAAGCAAAGAAATAAATGAAAGAAATACTAGTGAAAAAATGAATAATAATTGACAAGGCTTCATCTAAGAAATTCAGACAATTTAAGACTATTACTACTTGGTAGAAAAGCAAGAGAAATAAGATGAAAGAAATACTAGTGAAAAATGAATAATAATTGACAAAGGTTCATCTAGGAAATTCAGACAACTTAAGACTATTACTACTTGGTGGAAAAAAAGCAAGAAATAAGATGAAGAAATACTAGTGAAAAATGAATAATAACTTCATCTAAGAAATTGACAACTTAAGACACTTGGTGGAAAAGCAAGAGAAATAAGATGAAAGAAATACTAGTGAAAAATGAATAATAATTGACAAGGCTTCATCTAAGAAATTCAGACAATTTAAGACTATTACTACTTGGTGGAAAAGCAAGAGAAATAAGATGAAAGAAATACTAGTGAAAAATGAATAATAATTGACAAGGCTTCATCTAGGAAATTCAGACAACTTAAGACTATTACTACTTGGTGGAAAAGCAAGAGAAATAAGATGAAAGAAATACTAGTGAAAAATGAATAATAATTGATTATTTTCATCTAGGAAATTCAGACAACTTAAGACTATTACTACTTGGTGGAAAAGCAAAAAATAAGATGAAAAAATACTAGTGAAAATGAATAATAATTGACAAGGCTTCATCTAGGAAATTCAGACAACTTAAGACTATTACTACAAGAGAAATAAGATGAAAGAAATACTAGTGAAAATGAATAATAATTGACAAGGCTTCATCTAAGAAATTCAGACAATTTAAGACTATTACTACTTGGTGGAAAAGCAAGAGAAATAAGATGAAAAAATACTAGTGAAAAATGAATAATAATTGAATGGCTTCATCTAGGAAATTCAGACAACTTAAGACTATTACTACTTGGTGGAAAAGCAAGAGAAATAAGATGAAAAAATACTAGTGAAAAATGAATAATAATTGACAAGGCTTCATCTAAGAAATTCAGGCAACTTAAGACTATTACTACTTGGTGGAAAAAAAGAGAAATAAGATGAAAGAAATACTAGTGCAAAAAAAAATGAATAATAATTGACAAGGCTTCATCTAAGAAATTCAGACAACTTAAGACTATTACTACTTGGTGGAAAAGCAAGAGAAATAAGATGAAAGAAATACTAGTGAAAAATGAATAATAATTGACAAGGCTTCATTTAAGAAATTCAGACAATTTAAGACTATTACTACTTGGTGGAAAAGCAAGAGAAATAAGATGAAAGAAATACTAGTGAAAAATGAATAATAATTGACAAGGCTTCATTTAAGAAATTCAGACAATTTAAGACTATTACTACTTTGAAAAGCAAGAGAAATAAGATGAAAGAAATACTAGTGAAAAATGAATAATAATTGACAAGGCTTCATTTAAGAAATTCAGACAATTTAAGACTATTACTACTTGGTAAAAAAGCAAGAGAAATAAGATGAAAGAAATACTAGTGAAAAATGAATAATAATTGACAAGGCTTCATTTAAGAAATTCAGACAATTTAAGACTATTACTACTTGGTGGTTCCAAGAGAAATAAGATGAAAGAAATACTAGTGAAAAATGAATAATAATTGACAAGGCTTCATTTAAGAAATTCAGACAATTTAAGACTATTACTTTTAAAAAAAGCAAGAGAAATAAGATTTACTAGTGAAAATGAATAATAATTGACAAGGCTTCATTTAAGAAATTCAGACAATTTAAGACTATTACTACTTGGTAAAAAGCAAGAGAAATAAGATGAAAGAAATACTAGTGAAAAATGAATAATAATTGACAAGGCTTCATCTAAGAAATTCAGACAACTTAAGACTATTACTACTTGGTAAAAAAAAAGAGAAATAAGATGAAAGAAATACTAGTGAAAAATGAATAATAATTGACAAGCTTCATTTAAGAAATTCAGACAATTTAAGACTATTACTACTTGGTGGAAAAAAAAAATAAGATGAAAAAAAATACTAGTGAAAATGAATAATAATTGACAAGGCTTCATTTAAGAAATTCAGACAATTTAAGACTATTACTACTTGGTAAAAAAGCAAGAGAAATAAGATGAAAGAAATACTAGTGAAAAATGAATAATAATTGACAAAGGCTTCATTTAAAAATTAAAGACAATTTAAGACTATTACTACTTGGTAAAAAAAGCAAGAGAAATAAGATGAAAAAAACTAGTGAAAAATGAATAATAATTGACAAGGCTTCATTTAAGAAATTCAGACAATTTAAACTATTACTACTTGGTGGAAAAGCAAAGAAATAAGATGAAAGAAATACTAGTGAAAAATGAATAATAAAAAAGGCTTCATTTAAGAAATTCAGACAATTTAAGACTATTACTACTTGGTGGAAAAGCAAGAGAAATAAGATGAAAGAAATAAAAAAATGAATAATAATTGACAAGGCTTCATTTAAGAAATTCAGACAATTTAAGACTATTACTACTTGGTAAAAAAGCAAGAGAAATAAGATGAAAGAAATACTAGTGAAAAAATGAATAATAATTGACAAGGCTTCATCTAAGAAATTCAGACAACTTAAGACTATTACTACTTGGTAAAAAGCAAGAGAAATAAGATGAAAGAAATACTAGTGAAAAATGAATAATAATTGACAAGGCTTCATTTTAGAAATTAGACAATTTAAGACTATTACTACTTGGTAAAAAGCAAGAGAAATAAGATGAAAGAAATACTAGTGAAAAATGAATAATAATTGACAAGGCTTCAAAATTCAGACAACTTAAGACTTCTTGGTAGAAAAGCAAGAGAAATAAGATGAAAAGAAATACTAGTGAAAAATGAATAATAATTGACAAGGCTTCATCTAAGAAATTCAGACAACTTAAGACTATTACTACTTTTTGGAAAAGCAAGAGAAATAAGATGAAAAGAAACACTAGTGAAAAAGGAATAATAATTGACAAGGCTTTATCTAAGAAATTCAGACAACTTAAGACTATTACTACTTGGTAAAAAAGCAAGAGAAATAAGATGAAAGAAATACTAGTGAAAAATGAATAATAATTGACAAGGTTCCATTATAAGTAATCAAAACGACTTAAGATGCTTACATCTAAGCTTGACATTATTAATAAAACAATTCCAATTTCCCAACTAAATGAAATAAACAGATTAAAATTTTATTACATGAATTACTTTGCTTAGATTATTTTCATTTTTTCCTGTTTTTATCAAAAAATTTCAACTTATTATTTTTCTTCAAACACCAGTTATATGTTTTATCTTGTACTTGTACTTTTTTAAACATTTGACAGCACATGAAGACTATAACATACAATATACCGCTTTTGACATTTTATCTCTGATTCTCTTACCTGGGAAGTGATGAATTATACCAAGGAAGCCAGGGGAGTGTTGTATTGTCTGTTTTAAGCTGTGGAATGTTGCTGTCTTCAGAGATAAGGATTCTTGCCAGAATGGAGACTCAAATATACTGGCATAGAATTCCAGAAACAAATTCTCAAATTGGACAAATATTTCTTCATTTTGAGCCAAACAACCAGCAACCTGTGTTCCAAAAATCAAAGTGGCATTTCCCGTGCCTGAATTGTCTTTTATAGATTTCAAGAATTCAATCACTCCACATGATTCTACACTTTCAGAATTTAACACTGAAGATAAGAAAAAAAAAGAAGATTTTTAATAAAGTTATGAGATGATTAAATATACAATGACAAAAAAATGGCAAAAACAAGAATTCAATTTTATGTGGGATTGGTGTTCAATAGGAAAAAGAATTTAAAAAAATTAAACAAAAGAATGACTTTTATGAAAAAAATTAGAAAAGACATCTTAAAATAAAGAAAAAAAATGACTTTGATGAAAAAAATTAGAAAAGACATCTTAAAATAAAGAAAAAGAATGAGATCAATAGTGTGGACAACTCTTGCAATGATAATGACTCATCACATAATATCAAAATTATTTTCTATAGCTGAAAAATTATATTGTTAGTAGTCTTTTATGCTGGAAAATTATTCTGTATCCATTGTTAATTTTTGTTTTGTCTTTTTTTCCTGATTTTATTTTTGCTTTTTACTACAACTTTTTATTGTTTGTAATTAGCATGAAGTAGAAATAGAATTGCTTCCAACAAGACTTGAACTCTATCCTAAATCCCGGAAGCTCATCTTTCATCTATAACATCTCCCTTGGATTTGAACAACCAGGTCATTAATAATGGCAAGAACATTTTGTGTATCTACACGACACAAACTAATAAGTAAAATCTATAGAAATATCCCCCCCACAAAAAAAAATAAAATAAAAATAATAAATAAAATAAAAGCAGTTATGAAACAAAAAAGTGGTATTAGCAGTGACAGGATTCAAAGGGATTGCAACATTTTGAGCAAATTGCTTACTAAAATGACAAGTTCCCAGAACATGTCTATTTGCTTGCTTATTGGTTTATGCATCGACAAAAAAAATTTAGGATGTAAAAAAAATTATATATATATATATATATATATATATATATATATATATAAATATAGAAAATTGCTTAACTGTAAATATCAATTGGAGAAACAACATCATACAATTTTATATATATATATATATATATATATATACACAGAATAGATTGGTGTATACAGAATAAATTCCAATAACCAAAAATACTATTCTTAAGAGTAGAGCAAATATAACTATTTATTTGAAAATTATAACATAAATATGTTATAAAATCACTACAAAAATAGTCATTTTGTTTCAATACTTCTGGTCTTTTACCAAGTGATGGTGTTGAATGTAGAATTTTACATGTACATTCTACATTCAACACCATCTTGATAAAACACCAGAAGTGTTGAAACAAAATGGCTATTTTTGTAGGGAATTTATAACATATTTATGTTATAATTTTTGAATAAATAAGTTATATATATGAATAAATTACATAGATCAAAAATTCAAAATAACCCCATTTGAATAGCTATTTCACCCTAAAAGAGTTTTTTTGCAGGATTTGTCAATACCAAGGAATTAAGAATTAAGCTCTTGTAGGGTGTTATAGCTATTCAAATCGGGTTATTTTGAATTTCAATTCTATGTAATTTATTTATTTATATATGGTCTGTTGTAATAAATACATTGATCTTTTTCTGTGGATCAGTTTTAATATTTTATATTATTAGGATTCACTTGGATTATATACCAATGAATTATTACCTCTCTCTCTCTCTCTATATATATATATATATATACAGAGAGAGAGAGAGAGAGTGAGTGAGAGAGTAAGAGGGAGAGAACCGATCCCTGTTTTGATAAAGAAAAAAAATTTCTGGGATGTAAAAGATAGGAGAACCTATTCCAATAAAAATTTGGATGGCACCATTGTGTACTAGCCAAGAACTATTTGTATTTTATATGAACGAATGTGTGAATGAAAAACATTCCCAGAAATCCCAAAAGTAAATTAGAGCTTTCTTTTGAATTTGTTGACCGTGAATATTGTCCCAAGTTGAAATATATTCATTAAATTTTCTTAACGGGGATTATTTTAATGGGAAAAATAGTTAAAATAAATTATATTGTATTTGGAGGGCTATTTTTTGTTTTATTTCTGAGGAATTTAGTCAAGATGTAGACTAACAATATAATGAAGGGGGGTAATTCAGTTTGCAAAGTTTTATTTACACCGGTAAACTTAATTATATTAATTTTTTTTTTTAAAGTAAGATTAATTTAATAATACTAATTAACTTATATGATTAAGTATACTTATAGAAATATTAACTTAACAAGTATTAAGTTAAAAATACCTAACATTTCTGTACGCTATTCTTTAATTTAAGAAATCCTTTTTTAAAGTAATTTATTGCGCAAAATAAACTAATTCTGATGATTTAACTTTGGTTTTTCACTGAAATAAAACTAAAAAATGGCTATCAATAAAAAAAAAAGTAGTCTTAAAAAGAAACAACAGAAAAACGATAATAAACGAAAAAAAAAAGGCGGGATGGACTACAGAATAACAGGCATTTGAGTTGAGTACACTACACACAACATAAAATATTAAGAATGATGGATCCATAGGGTGGTCCGAAAATCTTGTCTTTCCCTAGCAAAAAAAGTAATTAATGAGAACAATAGAACAAAATACAAAGCACATTACTGGATTAAGTTTATTGAATATTCACTTTCATTGACCCTGTCACACATCGAGAAGGTCTGTAAAAATGATGCGGTGTCATGTCCTGTGTGATAGGAAGCTGTGCTTTGTAGATTCTTGCAATGACCCTCCGAAAGGCGCCCTTGAACTGATGGGTAACTGGTATCGTTCATGTGAAACTCTCTCATTGATAACATTGCCCAAAGAACGTAGAAATAGAAAATTGTAGAGATGACAAGGAAGGACCACCCTATTTCCAAAATTGATAACAAACAAACACATAAAATTCTTTTCCGAATAAATATTAAAAAAAAACTATATCCCCCATTGATGATGCATGGTGTATTTTTTTCTTTTAAAAATCCTTTAAGACGGGGCTTATTTTGAAACTTTGAATCTTTTCTGCCCGACCCCGCGAAGCAGGCCCAAATGCACCCTTAACCACATACACAATTAGTAATTTATTTATTATGTAAAAAAGAAAAAATTAGGTTTTCGTCGTTTTTTGTCAGTTCCTTTAAAATCCATCAACTTTCATTTTGTATGCGTGCTCTGGAAACGTTATTCGTCATTCTTACCCCCCCTCCAAAAATAATAATACATTTTTATGGTAATAAAAGTAAAAAATATAAGTAAAGTTAAAGTAGTATCATTTTTTTCTTATAAAAAGCTAAATCGAAACCTGTTTCTTTACAAGAGTGTCGTTGACAAATAATTTATATATCAACCTTTTTTAAATTGAAAAAAATCAACTTATACAAGTTGTAGGCTCAAGGATAGATCAGATACTATACTTTGTTTTCTGCGATCAAAAGTTTATCGTACCAAAAATAGAAAGCATGTCGAGTAATTTCTGTAAACAGGTGTCGTCAACGATGGGAGATTTTCTTTTCAGAAGTTTCAAAAAGACCTTTTTGAGGGCCTCATTGAAACTTTCAGAATTTATATTGTTCGCTGTTGGTAAAATCATGGTTAAAAGTTTTCAACCTTCTCGGTAAAAGACGAATTGAACTTTTTAATCAGAGACGAAGAACATGACTTCTGCTGGTCACTTGCAAATACCAGAATGAATGATTTCGTTTCATCTACGTCAAAGCGGCTTTTCTTTTCTTTTTTAAAAGAAAATCTCTTAGGGCAAAAGAAGGCCGCTCCCAGGTTTTATCACTCTTTCAATAGAGAGACAGTATAACTTTGATTTGTTACGATTCGTACAAATGTTAATAATTGAATTAATTATTAATTTGAACGAAACTTTTTATGTTGTTATGATGAATTGAGAATTGAAATTTAAATGTTTTGCAATAAATGGGCTATCTTATTATTTTCTCGTGTGATTATTAAGAAACAAGAGAGCATAAGGAAAATTAAGAAACTTTTCGTGGGGTTTATTTCCTAAAACACACACGCAATTGCACACACCATTTAATCCACCATCCGCTACAATGCGCCTCCATGAGGAATGTCCTTGCCCTCTGGGGAAAAGCAGAGTTATCCCCCTTAGACCACTATAGTGGAGGCATCATTAGATATCGGGAATGTGTCAAAAATATTAAGCTTATGGGCCTCCCACATGCAGTATCTCTCCTTCGGGAGGGAGCTAGGTTTATTTCCCGGCGTCCTTAAAAGGGAAAGTGCTGAGAGGGCTTGGGCAACGGTATTGTCGTTAAACCCACTCTAAACCTCGATCTTGTGTTGCATTCGAGAGTGATGTGGGCACGCTGAAAAATAACTATTACAATATAGTTTTTTTTGTAATTAAAAAAATAAGTGGTAGGGCACAATTACAGACCTAAGAGCATATAAAAGAACGTTTTGGTTGATATTTTACGATCATATTCTTCATATTAAAGTAAACACTCATTATTTGAAATGTTCGTTGAAGTGAATATGTGTTTTTTTAAGTTTAATTTATAGAAAGTTCATAAAAGTGCGTTTACAGTCAGACGTGAAGAAACTTAGAGAAGATGACTTGTAGTTTTAATTGTCGGTGAGGCTTCACTTATATCTTTGGGGAAAGGGAATAATTTGGTGTAGATATGCATTGACGAGATTGGCATTTTTTTTAGTTGACTGACTACAACCTGTTGCAAAATGTAGCATTTATCTTTTTCCCCTGAGATAGATACAAAAATTTTTGTTTTTAATTTGCTACAACCAACCGTGAGCGGTTAATTTTTCTCTTTTTATACTAACTGATCTAACTTATAAAAAATATATAATTATTTTGAATTGTATTTTAAGTTTTATTTAGTATCTGTCTATATTTCTGAGATGAGGTATTATGTACACTATTTATATTGTCGGACTATCATCCTCATCTTTGTCGCCATATTTATCACAACGTTCCGGCCGTTGTACCGCTCGACCGTTGTACGCTCCGGCCTTCTTCAGGTGGTTGGAATGTCGAACTGAACCCTTTATTTCGCTTGCTGGGGTAGACTGTTCTAGTTCCACGTGCCATGTCTAATGCATGTCAGTTATCAGTTATCTTCTGTTAATTCTCCTCTCCAAGTTCTCCACCGCCTTAACCAGGTATTGAACTCACGCTCTTTGGGTTCTGTCACTGGATCTAACTAACGCTTTTACCCACTGTGCCGAAACGTTGTGATAAATACGGCAACAAAGATGAGGATGATAGTTCGAGCAAGTTTTATTTAATTTTTATTTTTTCCTAGATTCTGTGATTTATATTCACTTTCTTTTTATGTGTCTTTGTCCAATGTATCCAAATTCTTTACATGCTATTTTAATTATTAAAATTAGAATACTGTTTTAGGGTAACGAAATGAGTCAGGCATTGCCCCATCATATCCTATATATGTTCACTGTGAAACCAGTCTGGTGATAATGTCAGCAGAAAGGAAGTTGCTGAACATCTTGTAGAGAATGTTAAATAGCATGGAAATCATGCAGACATTATTCTACTGGAATAACACATCACTTTCTTGTTACAGAAAGACAGTAGAACGAATTAAAGCATATTGTAAATGAATAAAGACAAGTGAGAATTGTGATTTATAACACCCTGGGCCAGCGTTTCTCAACCGGTGCACGCAGGCGCATTAATGCGCCTTGAAAGGTAACCAGGTACACTCGAAGTTAACAGAAGAGTAATTTATGAATTATTTTTATATTTAAAAAAAATCTTCATTTTTTTTAAAAGCTGGAGACCCCAAGCAATGTAATCTCTTAAAAATAAATGCTTATTTCAAGAGACTTCGTTATTATTTTCCTATTTTCATATCTCAGGACTTATTTTTCCTTATTAAAATTGAATGTACACACCAGAATTTTAGTTACTTTACAAGTGCGCTCTGAAGTTAAAAAAAAAAAAAAGAAAGAAAAATGAAAGGTTGAGAAACATTGCCCTGGGAAATGCTACCATGGGTCTATGTATTGTGGGCAAATACACTCGGAAAGATATTGCTCTCCATGTCTACATCACATTTGTCCCCTCCTCCCCAAATGTCCCTCTGGAGACATGTGTAATGGTGTTGCGGTGTAAGTAGAAGTCTATCTAGAGCAATAATTTCTAACGTGGGGTGCATACCCCACTGGTGGGGCATGGTAATATTTTGGTGGGGCATGCATAGGATGTGCACCCATCGGCTTACTATACCAACATAATAAGGGGGCAATTCGAGAATGAATTATTTACAGTGAATTGTTTTCTTGTGAGTCTGAGTGAGATTGTTAATGTTAATGCGTGTTAATACATACGATGTATATACAGTATGCATACATAAAGAATATTTTGTGTGTATGTTCGTACATGTGTAATTGGCATACATGCAAGAATTAAATATTACGGGGGGAGGGAGCACCAGAATTTTAGAAATACCAAAGTGGGGCATGGCTCCAAATCGGTTGGGGACCATTGATCTAGAGACACACGTGTTTGAGTCTTGCGACAAGAAAACAGTTTCTAATGGTCCATGTTGACATTCATGAGGATACATTTGCCCTGATCTGTATTGTGAACACTGTCTGGTTTGCCACTGCTTCTCTTATAATATCTCAATCTTAGCGAGTGTTTCTACTGCTTGACCATCCAGAACCTGGTCTACAGGTAGAGGAATGTTCATTTGACCAATGTTATCAACGCTAAAGCACTACTTATGCAGCACATGCAACGTGCACATTCTCCGAAGTGAAAATTCAGTCTCTAGAAGGTCTATAAGCAGTTCTTTTTTAAATGTCTCTAAGTGAACAAAAGGTGGTTTGTACAAAAAATGCTTGCACAAAAATTTCCTTTCATGTGCCTTATTATGAACAAGGCAAGATAACGTAACAAAATGATAGAAATTATTGGCTCTAAAAACAATTTACGAGGAAACATATTAACATGCTGTGGACAAGTTCCGTGTTGGTGTTACTTCTAGCGCAAGTTAGAAGGAAAAGAGAAAATATAAAAAGAAAGGAGGAAGTGTCTCGTTTTTATAACTGTTTAACAATGCCACCTAGAAGCGTCTTGGCGAACCTGACAAAACCAAGTGGTGATAACTCACATTATGTGATTTTTATCGGATTCCATTGGGCACATTTTTGTCCATAAAACTGTTAAGATAGAATAGCTGGTTCACAGCGCTTTTACTACTATTTATTGAGTATCTCTTTTCTCTCCCCCCCCCTCTCTCTCTCTCTATATATATATATATATATATATATTTTAATATATATATATATATATATATATATATAAATATAAAAGTGAACATAGAAGTCAACACTTAGAGGCGAAACAGACTGTCGCCTCTAAGTGTTGACTTCTATGTTCACTTTTATATTTACACACGCTCTATCTCTGATATTGAGCACTTTATCCCATAAATATAGCACACCTTAAGACTATGTTTCTTTATATATATATATATATATATATATATATATATATGTGTGTGTGTGTGTGTGTGTGTGTGTGTGTGTGTGTTTGTGTGTGATTGTTCTGTCGATAGCTTTTATTATTAAATTACTTAGTAATGCAAATAAAGCTATTTTCTATCCTAAGCATTTACATCGCAGTTTGGGAGTAAAGGGAAGTAAGCACTGTATAAAGCGAAGCAAGAAATTCTGTTTAATTCGCTTTGCCTTCTCCTGTGAGTGTCAAATTCTCCAAGCCCTCTTTTCTTATTATGCTTCCCAGAAATTGCAACTGTCTCTTTTCGGTCCTCAGCAACATGCATCCTTTTTACTTCCATTTTTCTTAAAACTTCCTCATTGCTCACATTATCCTGTCCATGCTATCCTCAGCATCTTTGTGTGGGACCACAGTTCTACTGCCTCAAGTATTCTCTTCATCTGCGAGGAAATTGTCCATTATTCACTGTCATATAGAAGTATTGATATTACAAAGCAGTTCAACACTTTTTTCTTTATTTCTAACAGAATATTTCTGTCTCTTAATATTTCGTTTAGCTTTTGGAAAGCAACTTCCTCTATTCCTATGGACCTTCTAGTTTTGCTAATAAATAAAATATCGATATTTTTAGATTAATTTGTAGTTTAATATAAATTTAATAAATACAAATCACAGTTTTTAAAATGTTAAATATTAGTTATTATTTAATTAAAAAACTGTGATAGTCTTCATCTGCATGGATATGAAACATCGACTTCGTTTAAAAAGTGAATGAAATATACGACAACATAACTATTCGAATAGTTCAAATAAAACATAAAAATCTTCATAAAGAAACACTTGCACACGTATATTTTATATTTGAAATTCTGAATACAAAGTTAGTATTTATCTACTTTCAAAAGACTATGTACCAAAAACAATATGAATTTTTGTACTTATCTGTTTGGTTTGTTATGAGCCTGAAATGCATGCGTCTTGATTCAATAACTTCCAGGAGCTAAGAAAAATATTGACTTTCTCACCTAACGGGTCTTGTCAGGTCACTTTATTTATTCGCGTGAAAGTTTATAATTAATTTTTATTGCTATTTTTGTATGGCCAAGGGGAGATAACTTTTTATTTCTCGCTACACTCTTTAACAGGCTTTAAAGTTTTTTTTTATTATGACGATTTTCTAAGCGTAGCTTAGATGTGGCACAAGGACAAGAGTATGGGACACCCTGTGAGGGTTGAACTTCCTCATTGTTATTCATAATTGTTCTAGCTAAACCATTTATACTACTTCGAGATGCCCAAATGATTTTCTAAGCATAACTTAGACGTGGCACAAGATTGAAGTGTCTGGCACTCCGTGAGGATCGAACTCACTACTCAATTGTAATTAATCTAGCGCGATTAGCTTGCTAATCGTTAACGTTACACAATGTCAAAGTACCCACTGATTTTCTAAGCATAAAGGTGTGGCATAAGGCCGAACGTATAGGGCGCCCAATGAGGATCGAATACATTATTCAGTTGTAATTGATCTAGTCAAGCATACCACTCCTTCTAAGCGTAGTTTTTATGTGGCACAAGGCCGAATGTATGGAGCACCTAGTGAGCATCAATCTCATTATTCTTTCATAATTGTTCTCAAGCGAGACAAACTTGTTAAACATTACACTACGCCGCAGTGACCCTTATTATGTGAAATTTTTGAAATTCGCGTACTTACAAATACAGTACAATTCAATAGAGAATCATTTTTTAAAAATAAATGTTTTTCAGTTTGACAATTATTTATTTTTTCTGTGTCATTGCATAAAGTAAATTAATTTAAAATTCTGATTTTGATAATTTTCGCCTTTATTTTTAGTAATATAATGTGTAAGTTGCTTCCGCAAGGAAAATTTTGGATACTTTCATTCATGCATTTTTAATTAATTTTTAAAGTAAATAAAAAAAACTACGACAAAATATTTCGTTTTTCATTTCAGGACTTTAGATTCAGTTTTTTACATCAACTATTAATAAGGGAGGTAAGCAAGGTCAAACCTTCTTTTGAGACGTTCCCAGACCTCGCTAAAAACGTGACCAGTTTGTTACAAAGGATGGCTTCGAAGGTTTGTCGAGGCTTTTTACGGCCCTTAAAGGTAAAAACAACCTTACATTTTTAACAATGAAATTCTCAGCCAACGACTTATATAAAAAGATCTTTATTTCACTATTTCGCATAACTTTAAAAATTCTCTTCGGTGCAAGGTCGTTCGGGTTTTCACTTTGTAACCTTTCATTTTTTTTTTAGTTAAATTTCCTCTTTTTTGATGAAGCTAAAAAATATAGTTCGTAAGTTAATGAATGTTTTTTTGAAGTTTTTAAACTAAGAAGAGTATTAATTATTTTATTTTATTAATCTAACAGTTTAAAAGAGTTCTTTATTTCTTTTTTTTATTTGATGTCATTGAAAAGGACAGTTGTACCTGATTGATGAAGTCTTGGTTCATTAAATGTTTACTTTCGTATTTTTGAAATAAAATGAAAAGTTGAGATTTTCAATTATCATTATTTTATTTTTTACGTTAAAAATAAAAATCCTAAATTAAACCCAATTACTCATTTATAGAAAATGATTTCATGTGAAACGTCAGTGTCTTTTCATATTTATTTATGACTGCTTCATTTTTTAGCTAGCCTCATATTCTGAGCCCTCAAGATATTCAGTGTTTGTTTTTACTTTGGAGCGATAAGAAAGACGGAATATAATAATAAAAAAAAAAAAACGAAGCCAACAACAACAAAAAAGTTACTAACCAAGAATTCCTAAAAAAAAGGTTCTCATAAAATTAAAAATCAAAGATAATTATTATTATTATAAATTATTTTTTGATTTTCTAACTTATTGATTTCAATTCAACTATCTTTCAAAATTAAAAATAAATCCGTGAATTTTTCTTCATGGAGATATAGTTTTATTTTTTTTTTAAATGTCTCTTTTTTTTTTTTTTTTTTTTCTCTCTCTCTTTCATTGTTGTTGTTGTTTTAGTTTTTTAGCAATTTTTTTTCATTCGGTGTTATTTCTTAAACTAAAAGTTAAGCATTTAGTAAGTAAAGTAAACGTTTTAGACATTCTAGGTTTTTATTTTGAACAATGAAGGTAAATAAACATCTACCGACCAAGTGACCGAAAAAGTTTTATAAAAAAGGAAGTTAATTTTCAATCAAATCGCGTGTAAAGCACATGTAAGCCATTCACGCACATCCCAGATGCATACATTTGTTACAAATACGTTCGTGCAAAGTCACTTGCAGATATAGTGTGTGAAGGACAGAGAATTGGTTCTTCCTCTTAAATTGACATATTGAAAAATGCGTTTCATTTGTTTACGAAATATTACCTACATTTAGAAAACTTCAATAAGGTAATTTACAATGATGCAAATATGAATTAATGCTCAGATTCAAAATTACAAATAAGAAAAAAAAACATTTCAGTGCTGTAAAAAAAAAAAAAAAAAAAAAAAATTATATACAGTGTAACCCGGATATAAGAGAGTTGTTGGGACCGGAGAAGTAGTCTCTTATATCCGGGTTTGGTCTATTTTGTTTAGGTAAGTATGGGCTCTAATTTGGGACCAGAGAAAATCTCTCTTATATCCGGGTTACACTGTACATAAGTAACGCTGTCAAACATTCAGAAAAAGAAAAAAAAAAATCCTTGATTAATTTTACATTTAAAAATTTTCCTAGCCAGAGACTTAAACAACAAAAACCAATGATTTTTTTTTTTTTTTTTTTTGAGTTGGATCTTCACCAGTAGCTTGAGACTGTTGTAGACGTTTTTTTTATCCTGGCTAAACCAAACTTAATAAAAATGCCATTTTGATCTTCACTGGTTGCTCTAAAATTATAGCCCTGTGCCAGACTAAATTAAGCTTAGTACTTATTTGGGTGCAGTACATAGTAATGGTGAATAAATCTTGTCAACTATTCTATGGTAACTTTGATCTTCACTGAGTGCCACGTACTTGTTATCTTGTGCCAAGCTAAATTACAAATTTTATTCTACATTTTCTTATAGACCTCTCTTGAATAGAAACAACAAAAAATGTTCACTAATTTATAATATGAATGAAATTGGTTTAGGTAAGACGATATTGAAACTTACTGTTAATGTCCATGGTGGGCAACATGTTCCAAGCCATCATTCTTCGTCTGCTTATAGGAAACCTATTAATTATCAGTTTGCTGGTTAAAACACACCAGCCTTATAAAGAAAAAAGAAGTTATTTTGCTGGTCCCAATAAAATAGGCAAAGATGCTTTTAAGCTTATATAACCGGTCTCAGTAAAATAAACCGTCAGGCTATTTTGTCGGTAAATATCTTTATTATGAAGGCAGGTAATGTTAAAAATAACAACACGCAGAAGTTTATTTATTTTCACCGTCAATTCTGAAGACAATTTAAAATCTTTTTCATCATCAATTGTTAAAACACAAGTTAAAATCATTTATTCATCAATTATTAAAAGAAATATAGAAGTCTTTGAATATTTTAAGCACTTCAGGAATAACAGTACCTGCAAATCCCAAACTTGCCCTTGGGCATGGTTCTTTTGCCAATACACTTCAGGTGCAGCCACTGAAAACAATAGTCACAGACCACAAAATCCATGTTGTTCAAGTCCTACCTACACAACTCCATCAACCACTGCACTGTTCATCAATGAAACAAGACAAATTTAAAAGCTCCAGAGCTTTTAAATCAGATGTCAGTCCAAGTGGCCAGCAAATTGAAATTTCATAAAAATACCTCCTTTTATATTTGCTGGTGTTTCGAGTTGGTTGGACATAGTATATATGAAACCAACTGATTATTAAAGATGAAACATTGCTTTATAAGAAGGTTTCATTTTCATTTTTTTTTTTTTAAGAAGTGAATTTCTCTGGTATTTTATCCATTGAAGTTTTCAACTTAGAAATCTTTTATGTAGAATTTCCTCAAATTTTATTTTAAGCTCGCCAAATTGATGAACATCCTCTCTTCTTTAAGATGGAACTATTTTGGTATGTGTAGGAACACACACAACTCTGAGCACAACAAATTTAAAACCAAACATAAAATTCTCTGATTTTAAAATGAGGAAACAGAAGTGCCCGTCATTGAAATATGACCTCAATTAAAGAGACCTGGAATAAAAACTAATTACCATACAACAGAAAGAATTGTATCTTTATAAAGAGAAAACATGAAAATTCCTTTACATACTAATTTTATCAAAATAACTTTTAAAATACTAAAGATACTGCCAGTTGAACTTGAAGGGTATTTCACTATTTTAACCCATTTTTGCACTGTAAACTAGGCTGGTTTAGGATAGCTATAAATACTGAATTTATTTCCTTTAAATAAAACATATGACATCTTGGATTTTGGTACTTGTCCCTCCTGCTCTTCAGCCTATTTTTATGAATTCAGATTAGCTGTCCTCCCAAGGCTAAAGAGCTGAGTCTGCCCTACTATTTACCCAGCTGGAGTGAGAAGTGAATGATTCATGTTTTACCTTAGGGCATAAGTGCAAACTGAATAAAACCACTTTGACCAGAATTTGGACTTTGCCTGCTGATACACAATTAACCAGAATACCATCCATACATCTTGCAATATAAACAGCTTGTAATTTAGTAAACTTGGACAGATTATTTAAATGGAGATTTAATTGTTTAAAATTATTTTGGGTTAAGATTACTAGTGTTGCAAACTATCCTTTTCAAATTAAAATCTATTCTAATGTCATTGTTTTTCTTGCATCACTGAAAAAAAACCTTGACCCTCAGTCCTTTGATTCTGTTTGACTGTGTGGTACTCTAGATGATAGGGAGAGGGAGGAAAAGATACTGAAGAAAATTCTGAAAACAACATAAAGAAGGTTGAAGAATCTATCTGCTGAAATGGGTTCAAAATAACAATGAAGAGAAAAGTTATGTAAATATTGAGAAAAATGAAGAATAAATCATTTTTTTTTTTTCTTGTAATCTCCAGGGCCGTTTAATGGGCACACAGGCTGCTGCTGCTGCTCGGAAAGATACTCGAGAGACAGGAATGCTCCTGCCATATTATGACCCGATGGTAAGTATAATTTTTATCTATTGCTTATCAAGTGACATACAGTCTATTTTCAGTACAAAGAAAGTGTAATGAAGATAGAGGTGCCAATTGAATGTTAACATGTGCAGGCTAATGAATAATACATTTCATATTTAACATTACATTTTATTTCACTCTGTTACTTTATCAGTTACTGTCCTCATCCAAAAGCTGGGCCTTACATTCTCATTTGTGATGTGTGAGAGGCTCTCATCTCTTAGGTGGGTGTTAGTATATTACCTGTCCAGCTATTTTTCTCATGCATGTACATATCGGGCACAGCTAGACCTATGTGTACATTTCGCCTGAGCACTGACTACAGGTGAATCAACTGGAGGTCACCTCAGTTCAGCCCAGCCCAGATACCTTAACTTTGTATATAAACCACCCTTATTTACATTTAATATTCCAGTATTATGGAGTGAGGCTAGCTACAAGTACTGATAGTCTATGGCATCTAGGTAAACATTAGCCTACCAGGTCCCTCAACTTTGCATCTAAACCACCCTTATTTACATTTAATATTCCAGTATTATGTACTGATAGTCTATGGCATCTAGGCATTAGCCTACCAGGTCCCTCAACTTTGCATCTAAACCAACTTATTTACATTTAATATTCCAGTATTATGGAGTGAGGCTAGCTACAAGTACTGGTAGTCTATGGCATCTAGGTAAACATTAGCCTACCAGGTCCCTCAACTTTGCATCTAAACCACCCCTTATTTACATTTAATATTCAGTATTATGGAGTGAAGCTACAAGTTTAGTCCATGGCATAAACATTAGCCTACCAGATCCCTCCTTTGCATATAAACCTCCCTTATTTACATTTAATATTCCAGTATTATGGAGTGAGGCTAGCTACAAGTACTGGTAGTCCATGGCATCTGGGTAAACATTAGCCTACCAGGTCCCTCAACATTAGCATATAAACCTCCTTATTTACATTTAATATTCCAGTATTATGGAATGAGGCTAGCCAAGTACTGGTAGTCCATGGCATCTGGGTAAACATTAGCCTACCAGGTCCCTCAACTTTGCATCTAAACCACCCTTATTTACATTTAATATTCCAGTATTATGGAGTGAGGCTAGCTACAAGTACTGATAGTCTATGGCATCTAGGTAAACATTAGCCTACCAGGTCCCTCAACTTTGCATATAAACCTCCCTTATTTACATTTAATATTCCAGTATTATGGAATGAGGCTAGCTACAAGTACTGATAGTCTATGGCATCTACGTAAACATTAGCCTACCAGGTCCCTCAACTTTGCATATAAACCTCCCCTATTTACATTTAATATTCCAGTATTATGGAATGAGGCTAGCTACAAGTACTGGTAGTCCATGGCATCTGGGTAAACATTAGCCTACCAGATCCCTCAACTTTGCATCTAAACCTCCCCTTATTTATATTTAATATTCCAGTATTATGGAGTGTGGCTAGTTACAAGTACTGGTAGTCCATGGCATCTGGGTAAACATTAGCCTACCAGGTCCCTCAACTTTGCATATAAACCTCCCTTATTTACATTTAATATTCCAGTATTATGGAGTGAGGCTAGCTACAAGTACTGGTAGTCCATGGCATCTGGGTAAACATTAGCCTACCAGGTCCCTCAACTTTGCATATAAACCTCCCTTATTTACATTTAATATTCCAGTATTATGGAGTGAGGCTAGCTACAGGTACTGGTAGTCTATGGCATTTGAGTAAACATTAGCCTACCAGGTCCCTCAACTTCAATCATCAATCAACCAAAAGGTGGTGTATTGATGTTTTATCTTTTCTAAAAATCTGTTAAGTTTGATGCAGCTTTTTAATTTTATTTCATAACCTGAACAAGACCACCTCCTTAACCTAAAGAAAAAAGTTACAAAGTTATAAAATTGAAGAAGATGGTTCGAAACTAATTTGGTAAATATTTCCCTTTAATTGATTTCTTCCTAAATGATAAAAAATGGATGCAGTTGTTAATTTTTGCTATTTTACTCAAATGTAGATAAATTGTAGCTTTTCCTAAAGAAAAAAGTATATAAATTGTAAAATGGAGAAAAAGATATTTTGAAAGTAATCTTGTGACTCTGAATCTATGAAATATATAGTAAATAATGAAAATGATTATGTTAATTAATATTAATTAGCCTGCACACTGCATTATTAATATTACTTCTCTTTCCATTGCATTCTTTTTCAACGCCTCTTGGTTACAGTAACTTTATTGTTAATTTCACTCAAAGTTGTTTTCTGTTGCCATAGCAGGATATAACAACACAACTATGAAATTCAAACAAATTCAAATTTAGGGATCAGCAAATGAAGTCACAGAGTAATAAAGGTTAATATTATTATAAGTAATGAAAATTCATTATTAAGTGTGCTACATGCTACTAGGTTGGTATCTCTGTCTCACCCTTTCACTGTTGAAAGAGTTAAATGTAATCCCCTATTCTCCTCCAACAGCTTCTCTCACATTTTTAACTCCCTTCCTCCTACTTGCTTCCCTGATAACTATAATCTTCAAATATTCAAATGTAATGTTAATTGACATCTTCTGATGCCTTGATCCTGATCCCTGTCCTTCGCTATATCTTTTCCCCAAACACTACATTTTACTTTTGCTCTCTATAACCCCTTGCATGTTTGGGGTGAAATGCTTGCCCAATATTTAAAGCAAAAGAAAAACTAAAATGTTGTTTTTAGATTTAAAAAATGATTGTTTTTTCTTTTTCCAGATTACAAAATTACCCAATGGCCTTCTTGTAGCCTCCTTGGAAAATTTTGCTCCTATTTCTCGGATTGCAGTTGTCGTGAATGCAGGATCCAGATTTGAAACTGGTGACAATTTGGGTGTGACTCATATGCTGCGTGTGTTTGCTGGCATGGTGAGTTAGGCGTTTGTGTTTTTCAGTTTAGCTCTAAAGTGGTCAAGAGAAGAAAACGATCTTGATCAGTTTGCAGTTGCCATTCTAAACAAAAATTACAACCTTTTTATAGTTTAACAATGATTTGAAATTAAGTCAAACTTAATTTCACTCTCAACAATAAAAGTGAATGTCCTGTCACAAAACAGCTATTATATAAAATTTAATAACTCATGCAAAAGCAAATTCTGAATATACTGAATTAAAAAGCATTAAACTCTTATTAATAATGACTTTCCTAATTACATTGTTAATGAATAAATTAAACGAACTATTAAAATATTAACATAAACCAAAAGGAACATAATACTTCCTCAAATAACCATAAGCATATCAACCTACTATATCACAATCAAATACATTCTAACTATAAACATGAAAAAATTCTAAAAAAAACTCGTAAGTACCAATATATGTAGAAAAAAAAATAAATAAAATAAAACTAATTATATACTACACTAAATTTAATACAACCAATTTAATCATCCACAATAACTCTTCTCTGTCAACTAGTGTTTTGTAAAAGACCAACATTTTATATCAATTTAAATGTCCTTTGGGAGATTGTATCTCTGTCAAAAATGTAAATATGTGTTGGTTTTACTACTACAACTATGTCAAGGAGACTTACATTACACTTGAATGATTATAGCTCAATCTCCCAACATTTAAAGGAGTATTCTTGTGCACATTCACAATTTAAACAGATATTAATTTATAATACAACTATACTCTGTCATGATAATAATAAACATAAATTTCAAATTCTGGAAGCCCTTGATATAAAAAAAAATTATTACCAAAAATAAAGTCAATATTGAGTATAGCAACAAAGTTCTAAAATGTATATAATAACAAAGTTTTTAAAAATATCGAAATTATAATTGTTAAAAATTACAATTAAAAAAAATATTTTAAAAAACATGTAACTATAATTTTAATAAAGATTACATAGTTGAGTTACCTTCCTTCCATATCAGTTAAAATTTTTTCAAATTTTACGGTGTTCATGCTCACAAATTCATAACTTACATTAACTTTTGTTTTAGAAATTCAACCCCTGAAGATGATCTTGGATGAGATTGAAAGTACTTGGGGAAATTGTACAGACACTAATATATTCGTTTGTGAATTTGAGAGGATTAAAATAAACAGACATAATATATTTAGATTATTCAACCAAACATGCTTGAATATATATATATATATATATATATATATATATATATATATATATACACACACACACACACACATATATCTGTGTAATGTGCTGTCTCGTGTTGCTTTTTTGAGAGACCAAATTACAATAAATTAACCTCTTTTCCTCTATCTCTTTATTCCATCTTCTAGCTAAATAAGTTAAAAAAGTAAGAGAATGATGAAAGTATCGTTAGTAACAATTTGGAAAACATAGATGTTAGTCTCGATCAGCTTATGAACATTTTATAAACGTAAACAATGGAAAAGATGTATATTTGCTATGTTTGTATTTTATAATATGTTACTAATATGTAAATATTACATAGATTATTATTGCCATGGACATGGCTTGTTTTTTAAGGGCAGCACAACATTGAATATGGGCATCGCTGTATAAGTTCATTAAAATTTCCATTAATGCACAGTTTTCTGGTTTTTCTTATTACAAAGGTTACTTAATTCTGTGTTGTCTTTCTTTTTCTGAAACAGCACTTTTTTTGATTGAGATGTTGAAAGCTCTCCAGCGTCTAACCCTGACTTCATTTTGTATTGTAATAAATCCATTTTTCATTGCCAGGGAAAATATTTTCCCTCAAATAGATTCCATTTAGATTGAGATGTTGAAAGCTCTCCAGGATCTAGCCACAATTTTCTTCATTTTTTCTAGTAATAAATTTCGCCAGGGAAAATATTTTCCCTCAAATAGATTCCATTTAGATTGAGATGTTGAAAGCTCTCCAGGATCTAGCCACAATTTTCTTCATTTTAGATTCTAGTAATAAATCCATTTTTCATCGCCAGGGAAAATATTTTCCCTCAAATAGATTCCATTTAGATTGAGATGTTGAAAGCTCTCCAGGATCTAGCCACAATTTTCTTCATTTTAGATTCTAGTAATAAATCCATTTTTCATTGCCAGGGAAAATATTTTCCCTCAAATAGATTCCATTTAGATTGAGATGTTGAAATCTTTCCAGGATCTAGCTACAATTTTCTTCATTTTAGATTCTAGTAATAAATCCATTTTTCATCGCCAGGGAAAATATTTTCCCTCAAATAGATTCCATTTAGATTGAGATGTTGAAAGCTCTCCAGGGACAATTTTCTTCATTTTAGATTCTAGTAATTCCATTTTTTTCTTCAAATTCAAATAGATTCCATTTAGATTGCGATGTTGAAAGCTCTCCAGGATCTAGCCACAATTTTCTTCATTTTAGATTCTAGTAATAAATCCATTTTTCATTGCCAGTGATAATTTTGTTCAAGAAAATAAAGCAATTGTCTAAACTAGCAGATATTCTTTTCAACAACTTCATATGGAACCCATTTTTCCCAACTTCTACATTATTTCTAAGGTATGGATGAGTAATAAAAAGCTGAGCAAACGTCAAAAACACTTCCAAGACTTCTCTAATATTGGACAAATGATGGCACTAGGAACTTTGGCATCTATCTACTATGAAAGTGAGGTTAACATTTGTTGTAATTTGCATAGAAATTTAATTCCTGCTAATATCTTTGGGGAATGGTTTAAAGAATATCAACAGGAAAGACAAGACATTAAAAGTAAACTTGAAATTTATCTTTATTATTTCAGGGAACAAAAGACTCAACAGCATTTGGCCTCACCAGAACAATGCAGCAAAGTGGAGCTAATTACACGTAAGGTTTTATATTTCTGTATAGTGTGCACATGTACATGTGAGACACTCTATCCATTCTGGGTTGGGGTGATGGCTTTTCAGCACCCCCTATTGTATATAGTTCTTGATTGAGCCATTTTTCAGAATAAGAATTCTGAATGAAATACTGATTTTTCAGAAATATTTGTAGAAATTTTCAGCACCTTCTCTTGTATGTGTGTTACATAAACGTTCAAGGCATCTACTTTTATATTAGAAATGCTCTTTCAACATAATTCCCTTCCTTGTTAATGCTCTTAACCCTTTAAACCACTTAAGCAATCTTAGTTTTATAAGTGAGTAGTTTAGCACCTGCTCACAAAAGAAAAAAATCCTTGTAGATAACAGTGTCATTCAAAAGAACATCTAATTGTAAAAAAACATCTATAGATAATTGAAGCACTTCATATAATGTAGTTTAAGCCAAGTTTAGATGTTACTGTCTTTGAAAACTGTAAAAGTGTGTTGATGGTGATTTAAAGGCACCCCTCTAACATAGAATTACTACCACTCACAACCAATATGGCTTATAATTAATACTACTTTTATACAATACAAGTTAGAACATAAATATAGGAAAAACTTCTTGAAAAATGGTAAAAAACACTTAGAACAATGATCCCAACAATCTTAGTCCACATAAAAGAAAAATTCTAAGAACAATAGAAAAACTGAATAAAACTTATAAAATTTTTCTTGTCCATCATATTCAATGAAACATGTATAAAAGAATGATTGCTGTCCAATTATATATATATTCACAATATTTATCTATAACTCTTATGATGTCATTCATCAAGGTGAGATAAGACTATATACTGTACAATTTTCTTATCTGACCCTGATGAATGACAATATTTTGAAATTGTTAGTTGATCATAGATAAGTATTGTGAATATTTTCTTTGACAGTGATGATAATTATTGCTTTAATTATCTTTCAAGTCCTTGTATTACCAAAATTATGCTCACCATGGCATAAATTACATTGCATATATCAATAGGTGTTAATATTTTAGGTATGCTGAATTTAAGGGTAAAATTGCTCAATATGGATAGTGTATGTAAAAAGGGATACTGAGTAGCAACAGTCTGTTTCATGCTTGAATGCAATCTTTATGGCCTGAAGATTGCATTCAAGCATGAAACCCTTTCCGCTCTGTGTTGCCAGCAGTGTCCACAAAAGTAAGTGAACCCCCGTAAGATAATATTTTTAAAAAAAGAAATTGTCTTTTTTCTAGATAATTGTTGTATGATACCTAGCAAGTTTTGAAATGCCTGCAATAGGGTAGATCTCTGGACATCTTTGCTCGAAAGAAAAATATGATATAGGGAAAAAAAAATCTTTTTTTTTTTTTTTTATCCCTTGACTTGTTATTACATTATAAACGTCATCAACTCTGTTTTCCTTGACTTAAATTCTTAAGCATTTTGAACTTCTTTGAACTGTTTTACTCAAATTAAGGAATGACCAAGACTGGCAAATGCTAACCAAAATATTTCCATAAAATAAATCATTCGTTGGAACTAAAAGTTTTTTTTTCTTTTAATTATGCAACTACCAACGAAGACAAGCATCCTAATCTTGATTTTTAATTAATATTTTTACTCCAGCTTGATAACATTTTTTGAAAATGGTTGTAATTTGTTTAATGAAGGTTTTTCTTAATGAATATGTAGTTTAATTAAGATTTATTGATTATCTTATAATATCATCTTAGAGGTTAACCCAGTACTGTAGATATATAATTATAGCCTTTCTTCTCCCTTGTTATTTTTCTTATCTTTGTTCCCATTAATGTTTTACATTTTTTTTTTTTTTTCTTTTGGTTTTATTATGCTTGAAATTATTTTTCTTTCAGTTGTTCAGCTAACCGAGAATTTATGACCTATCAAGTTGACTGCATCCGTGATGAGCTGTAAGTACTCATTTTACAGTTAATGGGTATTAGTGGGTAACGTAAGTTTCTACAATTTGTTTTTCTTTGAAAAAGAAAAAAAAAAGAAAAATGGGAAAACAGTGGCAAAGAAAAAAAAAAAACTAAATTACCTCATCTTGGGACCACGTTCGATTGTCATGTAGGACCCATTTATCATCATTGTGATCTCAGATACCAAGGTGTCACAAATGACTTGGCAGCCAGTTTCATCTATTACTCTGTTCTCATGGTGTTGCTCAACTTCATGCCACTTCAATCTGGATATGGTCTTCTCCTCTTTATCTCTTCTTCTCCCTCCTTGCACAATTGTCTTGGCTGTCCCTGCCAATTATGAGATGCATTTCTTCACTGTGCTTAAGAGATCTCTTCATATCACCCAATAGCTTTCCGGACTGTGTTCTTCATGTTGATGGCAGGCAGGAAAGGTTCTCTAAGATGATTAAAGAAAAGCTGTTTTGTTTTGGAGGCATTAAAACTTACAAGCCATTCCTTGCCCCAGTTAACCACTGATTGGGGAGCCTTTTTAAGAGCAGCTGCTAGTTTTATTTGTTGGACTTGCTACTAAGATATGAGTAAATAGTTGTCATCAGCATAAAATTCCTAGTTGAAAATTGTTGTGTTCTACAAAGTAGCATTTTTTGGGAAGAAGCTGTCTGAGTGGAACTTCCTTTTTACAAATGGAATATGAAGGGAATGAGAATTGTTTGACCCAGTGTACATGGCATCGTGTATCTTAACTGTGAAAGTTTGGACTGGTGGAATGAAGGAATATAGCTCATCAGAACATTCCCCAAGGCATTTTTGTTCTTTCACATAGAATTCCTGGCTCTTTAAGTCACTAAATGACATTTCATACATTATTGTGACTCCATCACAACTACTACCCTATTAAATTGTATTGGGTGAACAAGTATAAAAAAGTAAATAAATACATACAGATTGCATAAGGTATCTTGAGGACACATTGAAGACCTTAAGAAAAAATAACCACATTTTACAAAAATCTAAATTTATTGACACAAAACTTGGTACATATATGGAGCAATAGTTGAATTAATGTAACCATCTTCAGCCGCAGTGATGGCTTCAATGCGGGAATGGAATGATTGACATGCTTGCATCACATGGTCTGTATTGATAGTAGACATTACTTGGGTAATGGTGGATTTCAGGGAATCAGTTGTATTGTTGGAATGTTTATTAGTCTCCTGTTTAACAGTGCCCTATACGTAACAGTTAAGGTGGTTTAGGTCTGGCGAGTTAGATGGCCATATGTTTGGTGTGATGTGGCCACCACCAAATGTTGGGTCACCACAGCTTTGTGTGCAGTTGTATACTCCTGCTGAAACACATACGACCTTCCATCACATACAAAGTCTATCCAGGGTTTCACAACTGTTTCTGCACCTCAATGTAGCCAGCAGCATTTGACTGAAGACCCTGTTGAAAGAAGCATGTTGAAGTGACATGACCTGTTCTTCATTACTCACCACCCCTAAAACCATCACAGAAGTTGGTGCACATAACAAAGGCGGTTACGTGTGGATTTTTCTGATGTCCTCCAACATCAGAAAGTTCTGTCATTTCTCCAGTTGACTTTTTGATGTTGGTCAAAAATTTATTCACCTGCATGCCACGTTCTTCTGGATCTTTCAACACCTGGAGATCTTGAGCGATAGCCCTCATAGATGTTCCTGAATTTGCACTGATAATGTTCTGCCCCTGGTGTACAAATTGTGGTATCCTGATACTATGTGAATACTTTTTGCAACACATCCTTGCTGAAGGCTTTCAACTCCTTCTAAACTTTGGTGATTTCCAAAAGACATGCAATCTCAGCATCACTGTGCCTTGTGTATATCACAACAATTACACCATGTCATTTTATCTGATGTGTTAGTTGGGAGTTCACCATTGATACATTAAAAAGATAAAAGCACGTTAATGAATTCTCACATATCTGCAGGTACACAATCACATATTATCAAATGCCTTACACATCCTTTAAATAAAACAAAATTTGAAGATTTGTCTTTGTTGTAGATATATTGGAGTTGATTCCGGGTGACAAGTCAAGGAAGCCCTCCACCCAGTAATACTGGGTCATTATTGCCCTAGATACTCTCTCTAGTCACGACCTCTCAGCTGAAGTCCTCACTGGTGAGAACCTTGGAACCACTAAATAATGAGGTGCTTCAAATATCAATGCAAATACAGAAACATCCAACTAACGGATTTTTTTTTTTTTTTTTGGCTGCTGGATGTTGGAGTATTTTCTGTTATTTATTATTTAAACAGTTTTAATAATAATAATTTAACATTTAAGCTTGGATAAAATATTAAGCTGATAAGGCAGTAATTCTAAGTTGTGGTTTGATGTCCTAATTTCCTCCTTATTCTCATCCTTATGTTATAACTGGAAGTAATTCTCTTAAAATATTTGTTTACACTGATTCTCTCTGTTAATCTGATATATGTTGTTTTTTATCTTGACAGTGATGGTCTGATCCCTTTAATTAACAATGTGATCAACAAACCTGCTTTCAAACCCTGGGAAGTAAGCGATCTACAAAAGCAATTGGCTTTGGACAGAGCACTCTTTCAGTCCCAATACCCTGTTTGTAAGTAGACATTGTTTTATTGCATGTTATCTGATGTTTTAGATGCAGGATTTTTATTAGCAGTATCTGATTAGTATTTTGTCTTTAGTCACAATTTAACTCAAGTTTTGTGTTAATGGCCGAATGATAGTATGACATTTAATGGGTGCTTGAAATGTTCTTTTGGACATTTATCTCTTACTAGCAGTAGAGCCTGGCGTTGCCCATGATGTAACAGTAAGAGATAGATCAAGTATCGACCATCATGAAGACTGAAAATAAAATTGACAAAGATTATTGTTTAAGGTTGATGGGCACGCATGTCTTAATTAGTTTTTTTTTTGTTTTTTTTAATTGGTCAAACTCAAACAAAAACATTGTTTTCAATCTTTATGAGTTTATCGATTGAATAGAATTTTATTATAAACAATTGTCTTGTAACTGGAATATTTAAAGCATTCTGAATGTAAAAATAAAGGTTTTATAATAAGTAACATTTTTTATTACTTTTTATTACTACTACTACATGGTCTGTGTCTTGGGTAAGACTATAAACTACATCCAACAGCAAGGCCTCTGGTCAGGAGGTTTTGAGGAGCATGGAACCATCTCTTAATTGCTGGTGTTCCCAGGTCCACCCTGACCCAGGGTGGTAGCACATGTTAGGGTCCCAGCTATGGGCAAATAGTTGACCCCACAACCTGACTCAAAACACTATAAAAGTGTAAAAATAGATTTTAATACCAGAAATACTTTTAAAAAAAATTAGTATCAGCAATAAATATTTGAAAAAAGAAAATATTACCAGAAATAAAAATCTTGTCAGCATTAAATAACCCGTTGAGGTTGATATGCCACAAAAGAAAATAAAACAAACTATACATTTTTAAAAAAAAATATTACCAGCTATACATTTTTGGAGAAAAAAAAAGGAAATTTTGTTGGCATTAAATAACCCATTGTGGTTGATATGCCGTAAACCAAACCAAACCACTACATGGCCAACAATACAGCAT